TATGCATTTTTTCCGCTACTTTATGTATGAAAAATTGTTAATTGTATTAATAATATTTATTATTATGTCTATTGGAAGAGAAAATATTTAATATTTAAAATTTAAATTTTTGAAATTTGAACTTGATAAGTGGGAAAAGAGTTCCGCGTTTAATGTTTCTCATTATTTTCTGCATGGAAAATTGTTAAGTATATTAATAATATTTATTATTATGTCTATTGAGCTTAATTATAATACCTATTAGGATTAAATAATAAACTGGAAAACAGATATATATATAATAAATTTAATTTTAATATAAATTATAGATTAAATGAAAAAATTATAAAATTATAAAAAATATATGTATAATTGATAAACAATAATTTTAATTTGAAAACACGGTTAGATAATATTAATAATATTTATTAATATTATGTTCATTGGGATTAATTATTATACCTATTAGGATTAATTAATTTTGGTGCTCCAAAAATCAAACAAACCAAACATTATTTTGTTAGAAGCTTTAAAAATGAAGTTTTACCAAAATAATATTTTAATGCTATTTATGTTTACATGTTTCCAACCATTTGAGTAGTTGTCTTTATAAAGGTGTTTTTTTATTTAAAATATATGTTTAGGAGCTTATAATAATTAAATAATTTCCAAGCAAAGCACTATTTGCAATTGTAGGCTGCTATAAATGTTGTGAAGTACCATATGTCACTACAAGAAAATAGTCAATTCGCGACTGTCGATTCACGATGGTTTGAGTTCAACCGCCTCTGTATTTAACTTTGTGGCTGTTAGTAAGGCGGTTCTTATAATTGTCGTAATATACCATAATTCAGCGTCGATTTAAAGTCATTTCACGACAGTTTGTCTTTTTTTAAATTTTTTTTAATCAAAACACAATTGACAGGCAAGAATTTTGATTTTAAATTCCCTCTATTTATTTTCATTTCCCTCTTTCCTAAAATTAAACCTTAAAAGTCGCGCCTCTCTTCCATCACCTCTCTCACATATATGTTTTCCCCCTTCCTAAACCTAATGTCTCTCACTTATCTTTTTCTTTGAGTTGCCGCTTGTGGTGGCCACAATGGGAAAGGTCCCTTGACCATGGTGTTGTGTAACTTAAAAAAGTATTCCAGGCTACTATGTATCTTCGCATCTAGTGAAACTGAGGTCCATGAGATCGTTTAGTTGCAAGGTAGAAGGAATGAGACATCGCCGGCGACAAGTACGACAACGATTCTTGGCTTGGACAACGAAGCGGAGGTGTTGTGCACATTGAACAGAGGACATATGGTGATATTATTTATTTATCATTATTATTTTACAACCATTTATTATTTTAATAATTTACAACTATTGTATATTTTTCTTGAAGCCTGTGACTCTGTGAGAAAGATTTCATAACCGGGAAGAAGAATGCAAAGTTACATGATACGAAAGGTATAAAATTGGGTTCAATAATATTATGTTCTTTATCTTGGGTACAAATTTCAATCAAAGACCTAATCTCTTCTCTTTTAAGAGCTACTGCATCGGTTTTGTACACTTGCATATCAAGTGTTTGAGGAAAGTTTCCAATTAAAATTTTATCTATATTATTTTTGGTAATGCAAATAACTTAGTTGTTGCACATGTTATTTTTGTGAAATGCTAATAAATTTTGTTATGAGCAATAGGTTTTGTAACATGTGTAATTCTAAAAAAGTTAAGTCTAATTGTTTATAACTGTGTGTAGTATTTTTTATATTTTATTTTTATTCTTTAAAAAAAAACAAATGTACTAGACACAAACATAAGAAATATTTTTTTGGTTTTACATTTATGTTTCATATCTTTAAATTTGAAACTTCCAAGTAACAATATTTTTTTTATATGACTGCAGGTTTGGAGCTTAAATGCCAAAAATAAGATCCTTCTCTGCTTTTTACAAAGCATAAAGTCGTGGACTACCATTTCTTTTAATTTAGTTTTTCACTTACTATTGATTCATATGTAATACTTTCGACTTGGATTTTGTAATATTTTAATATTTATATAATGAATAAATTAATTTTATAAAATATTTGATGTATACATCACATTAAAAACATTAATAAATAAAAGTAATAAATTTACATGAATAAACATAAATCTCAATAATATATTTATTAATATTAAAATTTAATTCTTGAACAAATACGAAATTGTACGTGAAATTTAAGAATAGAGGCTTTAAAATAAAAGAAATCAATTGAATAGTAAGGGGGCAGTTATTAATCACCGTGTCTTTGCCAAATGATAATTGTTTGTGAAGTTGAACAGCCTTTCAAACAGTCGAGAGAAACAGAGGCGGTCATACCAGCGATTAGTTGAAATCGACGTAAAAATCCGCGCAACGCTTGTATCTGCGTCGGTTGGTAAACTGCCTCACACTATATCTAGCGGCGGTTTTAACCGCCCCAAAATAGAAAATGAACAGCCGCAATATACTTATTTTCTTGTGTAATGCCCTCAATTTTACATAAACGAAAATAATAGTTAAAATGGTAAATTGTTGAGTGATATTTTATTGCAATGACATATATAATAATTTTCTTATATTTTAATATAGAATAAATAAATAAATAAATTTGAAATAATTATATTTTGGATCCATAAATTAGGGGAATTGTTTTGATCCCAAAAGTGCTAAAAGTTATACTCGATCTGCGTCAAAATTTGCATGAAAATATTATTGAAGGCATGAGATTTACCCAAAAATGTTTACTAGAGTTTCACAGCATAATTACATTATCATAATATAGTTATAATTAGACGAAGAGATTTTTGGAATAATGAGATTTCATGAATTTGTGCAACAGGAATTTGTCGTTTCATATATTATTTAGTAGTAAAAACATTGAAATTCTCATAATGCACAATTAAACGTCGAATGACCTCATAGCCTGATTTAGACAACAATTCTAAGATAAGTGTGTTAGCTACATGTATAAAAACATTTAGACGGTCCTATATACCGAGAGGTGAAAATGATGATTTAATATTTACTTGTGAAAGTTTAATCCAAAAAAGAAAGATTAGTGAAATAAAAATAAAATAAAAACTCTTTCTTATAATTTGGGAGGCCTTGTGTACCTTACAATGCCATCATCTATATGAAATATCATTTAGTTCTTAAAGAGAAAGATGAAGATTGTAAATATATTTTTATATGGAAAATGCGCAAATAAGTTCCTAATATATTCAACATTTTGTTAATGTAATAATATAATATCCTTTTTATTTCTAAAATAATATTTATTTTAATAATCGATTTATTTATTCGTTGTCGCAAGAATTTCAAATTCGTTGCAAACTATTATATTTGAAGAATGTTTAATTAAATGTGGGTTTTTTTTTTGAGTTAACCTAACCGTTATTACTTCCTTGAGGCAAGTTACTCTCCCAAACTTTCCACAAGCTTCAACTTTTTCTTTCAAAAGTGACATGTGGGGATCGAATTAAAGCTTTTTTCTTTCCGCTTACTTAACTTTCTTGTTACCACCAATCGAGCTATTACCATTTGGTTAAATATGACTTTTTAAATTATGATTCAGCACTATTATAATCGATTAGTGTAATAGAAATTTCAAACAACTTTTAAATATTTGCAATCCAACAAAATAGATGATTTATTTCAAGAATATATGGTGATAAATTGGAAATGCAGTTATCGCATTCTATATAATATATAGAGTACAATTTCGTAGTTGCGTTGTGTAAATTCTTAAGCTTAAGCACCCATCGGTTAAGCTGAAGGAGTGTCTGCTGAAATTGACACACAAACATTCCATACTTTCTGACTTCTCTGTGAGATTTGAATTCTGTTTGTCTTGAAATTTGGTGTTGTCAAAATAAATTTTGTCATGTCATCATGACAGGATTTTCCCACATCATTGACGATGTTAAAACAACATTCATTAGTGACTGTTCGATTACCAAAAAATATACTAGAGAAAATCTCTTCACCACAGTTTGGGTATAACTTCGACGCACAGTTTCTCAGATAATCTCCATATGATGATAATGGCCTTGGTGCATAATTGTTTTCAATAGGGGAGCGAATTATTGACTCAGTTACATCAGATGAAAGTCCTGTTTTGACCAAAAAAGCAAAATTGGTCATAAATATTAACGATAGAAAAAAAGTGTTGAATGCTGCCATGGCTTGATGGTCAAAGATCTTTGATTATTGATAAACAAGACAGTTTTGTTGGTAGCTTGCTGGTGATCCATTGAGCTAAATTTATAGTTTGAAAATAGTCTTAACGTTTGCATTAATCAGTTTTGTATAACTCTAAAACCATATTTATAAGTTAATAACTCTAATGAAAATAAAAAACATATTATTTGATATTTATAAGTTAATAAAAACGCCCATCAATTAATTCACTCACAATGTTTCCTACCCATTTTAAATTTCAGTTTTTGCACATATAATAAATTATAATTTTAAATACGAATTCAGTTGCCAAAGAAATAAATTTTAGTTGTAGTTTCATGAGAAACGATACAGAACTTTAGTGGTAGTAAGGTAACGATAAATTTTATAAATTTCAATTTATCAAAAAAAATTATATAGATTTCAGTGTCAATTATATTAATTATAAAGTGATTTAATCATGTATCGATTCTTTTAGACCTATGATATAGTCTTGGATTTGTAGCTGATAAGTTGCTACTACGTGGAACGCGAATCAAGGGAAAAAAAATTTAAATATTGCTTATTTGAATAAATAATTATACAAATATAATTATTTTAAAATTATTTACACAAATGTAACAGTCAAACAAGTTCAATTGTAATCGTTTTGAAATTTTTTTGCCCGCGAATCAACGTAAGTCGTTTCGCATTATGCTGTTACATAGCAGCATGTCTTAAATTTTAGCTGGTAATAAAGCAGAGGTAAATTTTTTTTTTTTTAACCAAACCGAACCAAGCAAAGCAACCATTGCAATAATCACGAGTTCACAACACGACATTTAGCACATGGCCCCAACTCACTCTCACCAACTACTTCCTTAATCTCAAACTTGCCCTTACTCCTTACCCACTGGGCATTGTTACCCTCAATGGAACGCTTCGCGATGCAGAAACGGGTCCAGATTGATGAGTCCCAATACGACGACGTACCGGAGGAAAATATGCGATTCAGATCCTCCAACAGCAATGTCTCCGATGACCAAGAACCATTCATGGGCATCAAAGTCCGACGCAAGGCCTCTCTTCACAGAGATTACAACGGTGACTACCTCGATGTACCTTCACACCCCTTTTTAATGAAGATTTTGCACAAACAAGGTTTTTTCTTTTCTCTTTTTTTATACTTTTTTTTTTTTTTTTAGATATTTGGACCAATTGATGAAATGAAAGAAACCCTTAATGCAGGGGACAAGCAAGTTCTATTTGCGGATAAAGTTTTGAAGTTCACTGGTTCGGGGAAGATGAAACGCTGCGTTCTGTTGATTACTGATTTTGCGATTTACATTGTTGACCCTGAGGTCGATGCCCTTAAACGGAGGATAGCCCTTGCTGCCGTTGAGAAGGTTTGTCTCAGTGAACTGCGTGATAACTTTTTCGCTGTGGTAATTCCAACGGAGTATGATTTGCTCATGGCTAGTACTCGCAAGACTGAGATTGTTACTGTGTTGGTTGAAGCTACCAAGTCAAAGAGTGCGTCTGGTTTTGAACTCGACGTCGTTTTCTCCAACAGGTAAGTAAATCAGATTCATTTTCTCGCTCACCCTTTACTTATGTGTCTTTGATGTATCTGTTTTGTTGATTAAGTGATTTGGTGCACTGTTTGTGGGGTTGCTTTGATGAAATTGTCATGTTTACTGTGAAAAATGAAAATGTTAATGTATTTTTGGGATGGATCATCGTCATGTTGCAATGATGTTATTTTATTACAGTCCAGTGAGTGACCTGCATAAATTCAGCATCTACTTTCATGTTGAGACATTCCGTGGGTCTTTAGTAAAGTTGTAGACAGCACAATTGATTTTGTCAACCCAGCAAAGTGCAATTCATAAGGTTGCATTATGGCAAGGAATTGCTTTAGTGGTGCATTTATGCACACATCAACATTCTGGCATACTGAGTAACTTTGAGGTGGTCCTGTTATAGCTTTCAATCAACTTTTCTTTTATAAATTTTGTGTGAACGTACTGGCAGATGCCATTCACTTTTTTAGCTAGCCTTCACTGAGAATTTTTTGTGCTGTAAAGGAAAGTGACAAGCCTACATTTTACGAATTCAACAGATTTTTTAATCTTTCAGAAAATTTTCGTTATGTGCTACTTTGTTGCACTACATTTTTCTGATGGACTTTTCTCAGGATAATGATGTTTTACACTAACAAACCAGAAAAGTCCATAGTCATGTTGTTGCGCACCCGGAAGGTGTATCGGTCGTACAAATAATAAAGAGTGGTAGAGTATGGTTCCCATGAGAATTAGTGTTTCAAGCACTAGTTCACTATATTGCTTAAGTTGGATAAATCGGATGAGATAATTGAATAAAAACTAAATAGTTATTAAAATAGGAAAGAGTAACAAGAACACAAAGACAAAGGTATATGCAATCAAGAAAAATGTAGTTAGTTATTCGATTTCCCCTATTCTTCACTATATGCCCAGAGTTAAAACCCTAATTAATTGCCCTTTTTATATTGCCAATAAATTTCCCTAAATTAGTTGAAACCAAATCCCTTGGTATTCTATCTTTTACGTCCTTAAAAGAATCATGATTCCTCGGTGTTTCTTAAAAAGATTTAAGTATTAAAATCAAGAATCATAAAGATCGCATAATTATATGTCTATCCCTAGATTTATACAAATTAATGATGAATGAGCCAACCTGAATTCATATACTAATATCCCTATTGTTATACACGAATCCTAATTCAATCTACAAGAAGATTAACTTATAGAAGTATGAGAACAGACACGTTCATTCAATATAAAAAGGGAAAATTGCATTAAAGATTTAATTGAGTTTCATCTAACCTGAACTACAAAGGAAATTAGCTACTCATGGCAAAAACAAAGACAAAAGAAAACATAGATGCTTCCCCAAACTCCATTGCAATGAAGGCATGGTGAATCTCTACGAATCTCAGCTTGATCTTGCCTCAAACACGTCTCCAGCTCTCTGAAGCATAAACTCTAAGCAATCATGATCCTAGTTTGTCGATCCTCTCCATAAATCTTTGAGCCCTAGGTCCTTCTTTTATAAGGAAAGGTCCTTAATTTGGACCGTCACGTCATTTTGGGCCTTTTTGGTCACAGTTGGGTGTTAAAGCACGCAAGCAAGTGCTGAAATGACTTCTTTGGGTGAATTGGAGCGCGCTAAACAGTGGCCTCCATGTGTTGGACTTTGGCAAAACTTCGAATCATGTAAAACGCGCAAAGCGCCCTCTTACTAGTAGCTTCTCGTTCTGTTTTGCTTGTTCCTCATCCTTCTAGATTCATCCTTGCTCTATTTCAATTCAATTTACCATTTTACCTACAAAATTAGCAAAGATTAATTAGATATATAAGAGGAACAAGGTTAATGCTACCTAGCCAAATAACTCGAAGTTTTTATGCTTTAGGCTAGATTTTAGAGTTAATTACTGTGATTTTAGCCCTTTAAAACATGATAAACTATGATTTATCACATGTGATGTACAATCCCTTTAACATTCAGTTCTTGATTTCCTAGTATTTCATCTTTGGCTAGTTTCGGATTGTAAGATTCTCAAATATTTGTATGACTGTTGTACTGGTCCAATGTTGTTGGGGATGTGGAAGGATTGTGTTTTTTGTTTCAAATGGGAATCCTAAGTAACTTATATACTATTCAAATGATCTTCCTCGGTTATTTTGCCCCCTGCATGTCATTCTTAAATATATGGAATTCCATTTGATAAGAGTATCTATTTTTCCCCCAAATGTTTGTGTCTAGAATGCATTTCATGTTCCCATTTCTGATGCCCTAAAACTCATAAGGCAGGTCCTCCACATGCATAATATGACATATGGGTACACCACCATACACATACCTATCCAAGAAATACCTGCATCCCAGATTGCCTCCAACACTACCTTATTCCCTAGTCCCTTAACTCCCGAAATTATTAGATAGTTAGAATTTCATAGCCAAAGCCATTTTATAACATTCCCTGACCCTTAATTTTAAAATGTTTTCTTCTGAAAAACAAATAAAAGCTTCTATTAAGTTTGATTGGGTGTTTTTTTTGGTGTCTTTGTGTAGGGTTCATTTTATTTGCTAAAAACAAGGGAAAACACAAAAAAATAAATAAATAATATTTGGTTTGTTTATTCAAATAGTGTAAGTACGGGACAAAAGGCAACTAAAGGGATAGTACAAATCTCTAATTTTTAATTACTCACCAAATCAAGTTTCCAAATATTATCCATGTCACAAAAAGACCAATTTTGCTTTACTCTATTCATAGATATCACAATTTTTAGTTTGTCTATTGGTTTCAAATAGCAAACAAGACAAAAAAATTATAATGTGACTCAAACGCTTGTGCTGCATTGATCTGTTTGTATTGTCCCCCTCAATTTGCATCAGACGCAACCATAAAGTTTATAAATTCTGCTTGAGTATAGATTTTAATTGTTAAGTTGGCATGAAACTTCAAAATCTATTACACTAAAGGCTTATTTTATAATTCGTTTGTAGGTTTGAATATAGTGCGGCATCTGACTTGGTGAAGGAAATCCAATTTGAGGAAGTTGAAGGTATCTGGCAAATTTTTTTTTTCTTGTTTATTTCCCGCTTTGGAGTGGGGTAGGGGGTGGGGATTATCATTAATGTCACCATTCTATCCAACCCATTTTTATTTCTTTGGTTTAGAGCACTTTATGCTCCATTTTTCCTGAATATTCTTTTGTTTCTGTTTTAATAATTTACAGGGGGTGTCAAAACCAGAATTTTGAGGAAGTGAATTGTGGTTTGTAATTTTCATGATGTTGTCTGTAAATTAAGTTGTAGATACTGTTAATGATTTTTGAGTGATAGTGTGAGATGTGTATCAAAGGTTAACTCAACTGTAATTCTAATGCCAGAAATTTTAAGAGAGATAAAATATGAAAGAAATATGTGCTGTAAGTTTTCAACATGAAATTGGAACCGGATTCTTCTGTACTGGATGTATGAAGTGTGATTATATCAATATTTTTTGGAACTAATATCAAAATATGTTTCCTTTATTTTTTCAATAGAGTTGGTCATTATAAATTACTTAGCCATGTTCTTTGTATTAAATGATTTATCATGATGTTTTAATTGCCTATTTGATGAAAATTATGGTTGAGCACATGCAATCTTGTAAATTTTGTGGGTGCTGTGGTTTTCAGTCTCTAATGAAAATTTGTAGTATAGTTCTTGGTGCAGTTTGGATGAACCTGATAAGGTTATGACTATGTCTAGTTGCCTGAAGAAAAAAGAAAAATAATTAGACTTACTATTATTTCATTGCTTAAGCAAAATTTCAGATATATTGGTTTTACTATTAAAATCATTTATAAATTATGGAACCATGATTCGAGTTGTTTTTTGTGGCTTGATACAGCTGATTGTGGTTTTATATGTATTTTGAACATGGTGTTTCTATAAACGAAGACTAGTTATAGCCTTATAGGTGAATACTTTTTCAAAAGCCTATTTAGCTATGAAGTACAGACTGTAAAACATCCAAAAAGCTTTCTAGACTTGATGCACCAGTTTATTTAAGTAAATTTAAATAATATGGTTATTATTGTTGTTGTTATATTAAATCTTTATTGTAATATCTATGTTTGTTAGTCTATATAAAGACTTAAGCCCATTCGTCCATGGAATTATGGAAAGGTTTAGACCCGGAGGCTTTGTCGGCATAATTAAAGGCTTTATTACAAAGTAGCTTTTTAAGTAAGCTTTGGAGGATCAGGTCAGACTTTTAAAGTGGCCATGTTAGGTCCCCAGCCACCAAAAAATAAAAAATAAAACTTATATAAGGTAAATAAGTCAAACTTAGGTCTTGAGTATATGAATAAGTCGGGCTGTTTAAGATAAGGTCTGACTTGGTCTGAGCGGTGTCACATTTAGATCTAGAAACCAGGATATCGCTGTCACAGAATTGAATGTATATATATGGTCACTTAGGGAGGGGAAATTTGAAGTAGTCCTTCCGTTGGAGCTCTTGGTCCTTAATTTTGTATCACTAATTGAAGTACATGAATTTTTATTTTATTTTTTTTTGTAAATTTATCCTTATAACTTAGTTATTAAAGGTGGGGTGTTACCCTTAAACATGATTTTAGTGTATTCATAGTATAATTCTTTTTACATTATCGATAAATATTATAATGTATCACAATATTGTATTTACTGAGAACAAATTAATCTATTTAAGTTAACCGATCAAAAGATTATTTTGACTGCCTTGGCCAGGTTTCTTTTATGTATCTAATAAAAGATGGGAACGCATTCACTTACCACAAAAAAACTCACAATTCTTACGACCAATTTAATTACTGTTGATTTCTGTCAATCTAACAGTTATAATTTATTGAAAATTAATAACATTTATTGTGTCATATTTATTATTTCTCAATAAATTATAACCGTTAGATTGATGAAAATCAACGGTGATTAAATTGGTTGTAAAAGTTGTAAAATTTTTTAGTGGTAAGTAGATCCTTCCCAGTAAAAGATTAGTGTTGTAGAAAAAAAAAAATACTATATGTACTTTGACGCTTAATATTTTGTAAAATTCACAACTAGATGGGATTTTGTTGTTGGGTAAATATCTTAAAAAGCAATACATTATTCATTATGAAAGACCTGTCGATTATAAAAATATTTATGGATCCTTGTTTTTGATTTCCCATTTATTTATGGGGTATGTAGCTCTCATAGGAAAAAGTGCAGCAACACTTATTTTTCTCAGAATATGCGTGCGGATTCTGATGTTTTTTTTTTTTTAGACCAGGATACGACCACGTATGTTAAAAATTTACTGTAACTTTTCTCATCAGTGGTGAAAGGAGAACCGACGAACCCTTTATTTATTTGGATTTTTAGTTTTTTATTTTTGAAATCATGATTGAAGCCGACCTGGTATGAGATCACTTTTGTTGGAAAGTGCGGAGAGCTAGGCGTCCTGGTTAATAATTAAAAACAAAATGTTTAATCAAAATTTTATTATGTTCACCAAGACACCAATGTATTGTCAGAATGAAGAATGAAAAATAATGCATGATGATGTTGAGTCCTCAATACGTTCTTGCAGCCGCTTCACAAATATCTTAAGATTTGATTAATAACTCCTCAGCAACTACAAACCCAGCAAATCGAAGGAATTATAAAACCAGATGAATAATACAAATTGACAATCCAGATTCCTATTCGCCAATTGAAATGTGGAATAAATAGGAAGTTCCTTTTTATTCACTGAATTATATTTAGTTTTGTGATCCTATGCTCCACTCCAGGAGAAGACAATTGTGGAGCCCAACCCCACAATCATGGCACGACAAGAAAGATTCCCTGATTAAATAGTACATAATACAATACAAAATCGAGGGACCCAACTTGACTTTGACATCACCTAAGTCTGGTAGCTTAACTACTCAGCACCTATTTTGTTACCAACTTCACATCCACCAAATCATTATCACTGCTCCTGTTTAGGACAAAAATTAAAATTTGAGACAGTGACTAAATTGCATCTTTAACAACCTTTGACCGAAACAAGAGAATCTTGTTCTCACTATGGAAGACATGTAGAAGGTGTCTCAATTGCATAAGGGGTTGGAGTAGAACCTTCTGATCTAGATTCTGTGGATGGTCGATTTTCAGTATTTACTCGACGAATTTCCTCCACCATTCTCACCACCTCTTCCATTTTTGGTCTCTGATCTGGTATTCTCACAACACATGCCATCCCTATTTGTAGCATCTCAACCATTTCTTCCTCTATATTTGGATACCTCAGTAAAACTACATCAAACACTTCTGCAGTCCATTCCTCTCTAACAACAGAATTCACCCACCTAACCAAGTGAACAACCTCCTCACCTCCTGTGGCATGCATAGGTGATTTCCCAGTTAGAAGCTCAAGTAGCAGCACCCCAAAACTAAAGACATCAGATGCTGGGGTTGCTTTTCGTGTGTCTGTTACTTCGAATGCACGATACCCTGTAGCCCTCAATGCTGGTGGGGGTATTGGACTCATCAATGTTGCTAGACCAATATCAGATAGACAACCATAACCTTGGGAGTTGAGGAAGATGTTTGAGGATTTTATGTTTCCATGGATTAGTTTCCCTCCATGTTGAGCATGGATGTAAGCAATGCCTCTTGCTGCACCAATTGCAATTCTCAAACGGCTATCCCAGTCTAAAGAAATCCTGCCTTCTCCTCTTTTGCCTGCATGATTGAGATGCCAAAGCTTAGTTAACATTAGCTACTTCTAGAAAAACCCTCAGAATTACTTATGTGCAGGAAGCCACATAATTTAATTCAACTTTGTTTCATATAGGAAGTCTCATTAGTTGCAACAAATGAAAATTAGCCAAAATCCAGCTCCAGTTTTTTTTTAATAAACCACAGGCATCCTCCACGGAAGGCAATCTTGTTTGAGACGGGTTCAGGATTAAGGTTTTAAACCCTTTACAAAGATGGTACCGGTGGGGAGAATGCTCCTGCTTTTAGTATTTATTGAATATTCCCCCATTTAAGAAGGGAGGGAAATTAAAATAATGACATGGATTTGGTTAAAAAAAACAAACATTTTTCTCACTTTCCTCTTTGATCATCTGTTCAAGTAACCAGTATCTGTCTGTTACCCCTTTACAATAGTCATGAGTTTGATGCAACTATAATCAGTAACAAATTTCAATTTAGAACATCCCTGATGACATACTACTATGCTACTGGCTACTAGGTTACAAATTACAATGAGATATGAGGCACAATATATGACAGAAGAAATGATTGAAAGTAGCACTACATTGCCTGAGCATGCTTAAAAGACAATTCCTATTAGATAGATGATTATAGAAAACAAATTTTTATCTGTATGTCTGTGAGGAAGAATTATCCAAATATAATTTAACTCTTGTTTGTCAAATAGGAGAAAATGTTAATAACATACCATGCAACATTGCAGAGACACTGCCCTGTTCGTAGTAATCATATACCATAAGTTTCTCGTCCTTTGAATAGTAATATGCCCTCAGTGCAGCCACATTGTCGTGTCTGATCCTCCCCACAACCTCCATTTGCTGTTCAAACTCGCGCTTTCCAACCGTAACCTCCTTCAACCTCTTCACCGCCACAGTTGTTGCTTCCTCTAGAGCAGCCTTATATACCGTACCAAATGTGCCCTTTCCAAGTACCTCAGCAGATGCTCTCAACAAGTCCTCAAGGTCAAATGCAAGATTGCAACCCTCAAAGAAGACTATTTTGTTTTTCTCTCGACTTTCTGAAACTTCTTTTTTCCGAGACACTTCTTTTTTCTGGAACTTCACTGGTTGTCCATCTTCACCACCTTTCTTATAGCAACACACAATCACGAAAAATGCCATCACTGCAAATCCCAGCACACAACCACCAATGATGATACCTAATAATGCTGGTTCTCTAAGTCCTTTGGTTTTCCTTTTAGGATGAGCATTCGGGGGTTGAAAAGGAAAAGCAGGAGGAAGTGCATATGTTGAGGTAAGATTGTTACCAGAAAAGGCCCAACTTGGAAATCTCTGAAGGGATTTAGGCACAACCCCACTAAGGTTATTGTTGGCCAAATTTAGCTCTTGCAGGCTAGGAATATTGAGATCAGGAATTTCACCTGAAAGAGAGTTGCTGGATAGGACTAAAGAAGTGAGATGAGTCAAATTTGAAACTGAAGAAGGGATGCTCCCGTTAAAAGAATTGTTGGATAAATTGGCAACAGTAAGATTATGCCAAACTGAAAAATCTGATGGCAATGGACCAGAAAAATTGTTAAATTGGAGGTAGAGATAGGTCAAATTCTTCATCTCAGAGAAGCCAGAAGGGAAAGAACCAGTTATACTATTTGATGTAAGACTCACAGTCTGGAGTGCTAAGAGGCGACTAAGAGTGTTGGGTGGGATTGGACCACTCAATCCAGTTCTGGGTAGTTGGAGAGCTATAACTTTTGATTGGTCAGTGTTGCAGGTCACTCCTGTCCAGTTTTTGCATACAGAAGAGTTCTTATGCCAGTTGAGATGAGGAGAGTGATCAATGTTGTGAAGGAAATCAAGCAAAGCTTGTTTATCTTCCACTGGTTCAGCTCCAGCACCAAAGAACATTGCTCCAATCATGAAGGCTGCTGAAGAAATGAACAAGAGGCCCAGCTTCTTGCTCATTTTCTGGCTTCAATAGAGAAGATCAACACTTTAAGGGAACTTGGATGAAAAGCCAGGACTCCCTCAAGATATTGGTCACTTTTAGAAGAAACCAAACTGGAGAACAAACAAAAGATTAGATAATTAAACACTAGTACATGGTATCGTTATACAACAAAGACAATTGGGTAAGAGGCTAGTTAGAATGTATGGTGTGTATTTACTAGACACATTGGAGTTATTTTCTGAGATTTTGATCTAAAAGGCTAAAACGACACTATTAAAGTGTCTTTTCGGTCAAAATAAGCAGCTCCTTTTTGACATGGAAACACCTTATTAGCTTTTTTCTGTTCACCTACTTTGTTTGGTTCCCTTGCCAGTAAATTGTAAACCAAAACTTTGAAACTTATAGTGGATCTATCAGTTTATTAACCACTAATCTGGTGACCGAGACCGTGCCAGCAGAAAAATATTCCATTTTGTGGAATTTAGAAACAGAAATAGTGAAATACCAGAAATTTTTTCCATATGTTTACACAAGAAAAGCATAAAAGTAAAGAATTTGGTTTATTCTTTCCGTTGTTTTGGAATAGTCCAACTGAACAGATGTATAAAGATAAAAGGCAGAGCACTTGACATTTTCATAGAGAGAGAAAAGGGATACTCACAACACACTCCTGGGTTCCAAAATTCACATCAAAAGTAGTTAAAAATGCAGAGACAACCAGCAATGTCCTATACAACCATATCATGAATATTCAAGAGCAAGCAAAGTGGTGAAATGGGGGGGTGGGGGTTAGCAAGGACCACTTCAGATACAAGGTTCATTTGGTTTCAGAAGCTATTAGAAGGTGAAAATGAAAACTGGGGTAGCTGCAATGATGGTGTGTTGGTAGTAATGGAAGATCAGCTGGTATATGCTTGAGAGAACAGCATCATCACATCACGTGGAAAGGATGTAAGAGAAATCTGTTTGGTACTACATTGAGAAGCCAAAGGTGAAAGATATTTTATGCCGCAAGAATAGGAAGGGGCATGTGGAGGAACACATTGGAGTAATAATGAGACAAATATGGAGGCTTATATAAGAATTTTATATGGTCATTAAGACTCTAACTCACACTGAGAAGCTTCATGACCTTAAATATATAAGTCATACCTGATGACTGTAATTGATCCTATCAGTGCTCCTTCTCCTTGATTTATAATTTTTTTTTTTACAGAACTTTCTATCCTTTGAAGATGTGAGTGAGAAAAGAATGGAGATGCAAATAGTAAAGGATTGAGACTCAGGACAAGAAATGATCTCATGAGCTTTGTCTTGAGCTCCGTTTAAACATACATAGGTGACCCATGTGCTACTCTATAGCCTAGTGCATGCATGGTCATTAATTATATCATGAAAACAAATTCAATCAAGAATTTATTATTCACCTTTGAATAAAGTATTTTTTTGACATTAATGGGATTTGATGGCTCAAGATTCATTTAATTTGTGCTAATCAAAATAGTAAATACAGTACTACAAAGTAAGAAGACTTAAGTAAATATAGTAGCTGGTTTATTTGTTTGTTTAAAGGGGCGTTGACTAATTTGGGTTAGGTTAGGACAACATCAACATCATAAAATGATGATGTAGTTCCACCGAAAGAAAGGGATTCAACATTGTTGTTGTTAGGTAGCATCCTACGGCCAGTGACCAATCATTGGTCTGCATTTCAGGATTTCATATGTGACATAGATATAGACAAACTATGCAACTTTTTCATAACCAATGGCCTCCGTTGATCTTAACCTATCAAAACTTCTTTATCAAATCAAAATGAGCAAAAATTTGAGTCAAAAGTTTCTCCATCTTGATCTTGATCTTGTGCTCATATGATTGATTGTTTTTATAATTTATTTTGGCAGAAAATATACAATAATAAATAAACAACAATGTCAGTTTATATATTCTCCATCTCTGTAAATTCATATACAAAGTTTCCAATACCCAAATTATTGCATCATCGTCTCCAGGATAGTAAATCAATCTGATAATAGTCTACCAAAAGAAAATAAAAAATTCAATCTGATAATAGTAATCAAAACAGTCTATTTGAGAGGCTTATCCTCATTGTTTAAGTAGCTTGTGATCTGTGAGTGGTTGAATAAAATAAAAATTATTAGCTTACCTAACAAACTAATTATGAAGAGACCAAAGGATAGCCAGAACATTTTTTTTAAGGGATTTGTTTTTCTCATGTTGCATCAGAAAACAAATCTTTCCTACACATACTATAAAAAGGTGTGTCACTTATTTTTTTGTTTTTCTATTTGTTTTAAATAGGTGGGTTCCACACTTGATACATCTATGACATGAGATTAGAATTCTCCTACAACATAAAATTTATTTTTCCCTTTTTTTAATTGGCAATAATGTTATACACTGGTCACATGCTTTTCCCACCAAAACGCCTAATCCAAGACAATAAATAACAGAATAGAATATATTATAGGCTTTAATATGATAACCAGCAGTAGGAAAAGCTATGTATGTAGCCCAATTTTTTAACATGGGTGGGCAGGGGATGTTCTTGTTAATTGACGGTGGCTTTCTCAAAAGTCAAATAACTTGCATGAATTGTTGCATAATATTATTCTGAAATCATGTTTCTTACATTCAAGGTGCAAATAACCTCACATGGCATCAATATGCATGCATATACAAAGTTTAATAGGCCTAATAACAAGCATATTGTATCAGTTGGTAACTATGTGTAACTAATATTGTTCTTTTTCTATTACGGACAATTTGGTGACTCATGGTTGTGGGTGCTGCTTGAGGCCCCATGAAGGGACATGGTTGAAGTCAAACGCTACTCTTTTGTATTTTGCAGCCTCTAAAACTTGGTCTTGTACCCTTCCCTTCAAGGCCGGTGCCTTGTCATCCCATATAGAACAAAATAAATAAATAAATAAATAAATAAATAAAATAATTTCCATGCACAATTTGTATTTGGTTGGTTTGGAGTAAATACAACTGGCTCACACCTGAGAATGAGAAGAAAATGTTTGTTAGCCATTGCCGTGATGCAACAATTAGAAAACCTTTGATTGCGAAATACTTTTTCTTGATTAAGAAAATGTAATTATATTGACTAGAACAAATAAATCTTAGACATAATTTAATCGGTTAAAAGGAGAGGCAATTGTGTGAGGATTTTTTTTTTTAGATTTTTCATTGGGTTTATCATTTAATCGATTGATTCGATTGAGTGGGGTAAAATCACAAAAGCGATAATAATCACATGTTAGTTATTCTTCATGTTTGATGGTGTGTGTAAGCTTTTTGATAACGATTAAAATGTAATCATACTATTTACCAAAAATAAAATAAAATAAAATGTAATCATAGTAGGCCTTTCTTATTAGAATAAATATTACGCACAAGATTATTAATTAATCAGAGTGGTGCAGTTGAAGCGTTGTCGCGGCTTGAAATGAAGCTCTGATAAAAGTATTGTTGTGAAAATCGGATCAGACTGGGTTGACCCAGAATTTAATGGATCAGTCATTTGACTAGTCGAGTTATTATATTGAATCGGTCAAGTCCTAAACTTGGTGCGATCCGGTCAATTTTGGTGAAAACCGACAATTCGGTAGGTTAACCGGTGACCCGACCCGGTATATTTAAAAAAAAATTCCAAAAAAAAATATTTCAATTTTTTTTTCATAACTGACATATTTGAGTTATTTGTTATTTACTGATTTACATAAGTTATATACCTACAATATTAATATTATCTCAGTTATGCATTATGCAGGGAATTTTGATTTTATTTATAGTTAGAGATGTCGTTTACTGAACCTGAAACACCAGTATCACAAGCATTATATGTTTGTTTGATTCTTTATTGGACAATAATGTATAATTTATTATTTTTTATATTAAAATGTCTAGAATTTATATTATTTTTTTAGCTATTTAAATATGTTTATAATTATTTTGATATAAATTATAAATTTACATAAAATCACCGGGTTATGCGGTTCAACCAATGACCCACTAGTTAAACCAGTAATCTGATGTTATCAAAAAAAAAAAAAAATCAGTGATCTAATGACTCAATAACTCAATCGGGTTAATAACTGAGTTGATTTTAATAATATTAGATAAAAGAGTGGCTTTCGAATCAATTTTTAATAGGGGAATACATCCGTCCTACGATAGGACAAAGAAAATAAATCATGCAGACTCATTGGGAAGTGTACTAGCATTCTTTTTATTTTTCTTTTACAATGAGCCGCCCAAAATTTGTTAGTGCAGGAAATTCTTTTAATTGTCTTGTTACATGATAGATATATTTCCGTTTTTAATAATTGTTGTTCTTAATTTTATTAAGTTATGCATTCTTTTTTTTCTTTTTTCTTTTTTTGATACATAAACCATGCATTCTTTACTGACCGTGATGTGTAATCAATTCCCATACATGGCTAAACCATGATAAGTTGTGATATAAAGTGGTAAAGCAAGCCCAAATAAAATACAAGTCCAATTAATAATTTACTGTTCGGCTCACTTTGGTTTATGAAGAATAATCCGTTAAACAGTGGTCAAATTCTTTTATAAATTTCCAGCCAAAAAGTTAATTATAAATTGGTTATAAATTTATCCATTAAACGTTGATATTGGCCCACGTCAGAGGTTAAAGATATGGATTTTACTAGAAAGGACCACCATTTTGGATAAAGTTATTTTTATGAAGAATATTCCGTTAAATACTAGTTAATTTTAAGTATAAACCAGAAGTGCAGGTACACAAATGAAATTGTTTCATATTTCATTTAATTTGTTAGGCTTTAAATCTTATATTTTATATTGGATAAGAAAATAAAATAAACAATTATGTATTCATTTTATAAAAAAAATTTACTTCTATTCTGTAAATATTTTACTCTTCACACATAAGAGAAAAAGGTGCGCCATAACATCTACGACCTTTGCTTCCTTTGTTTCCTTTTTTTTTCGAGTTTCCTAAATTATATAATTATGAGAGAGTTTATTTTTCTTTTTTGAAAAAAAAAAGGACCTGATTATATAATTTAGGGAGAGGTCAAGTTATGTAAGAGAAACTTTCACCAGGGTCCTATTATTTGAAACATTTTGACCATATTATCCATAATATGCCTTAGGGGGTGTTTGGTTCAGGAATTTTTTTTGGAATAGTAGAGAAATGAGATAGATAGAGAAATGATTGGAAAGATAGATAAAGTGAGATAGGTAGAAAAATGTAAAAAAAAGTTATTTGGTGGAAAAAAACTTTACTGGGAAAATTATGTAACTTTATGAAATCAACAGTGCATTAAAAGCCAGATAACCGGTTTTCCGAAAAATCCCACCTTCAAATTGGGTTTCTAAACAGTGCGGATATCTATGTTTCTCATAAATCCAGACAAATTGGATAGATGAGTTTTTGGTGAAAAACGTTGAAACAAACATGGTGTTTCTAAAAACCATACTTGAGAAAGATAGATATCTACTGAAAAGCTCCCAACCAAACACCACCTTAGAGTCTTCGCTATTGACCACATTATCCATAATATGCCTTAGAGTCTCCACATTATCCACATTATGCCTTAACATTGTATTGATTATAGTTGTCAGTCCCAATCATGCAACACAAGAATGAGTCTAAAGGAACATGAAGAGTTACAGAGACATTTTCCCATTCCCCATTGTTGGCATGATTATGAGTCAAGGTTGTCCCATTCATATGAGATATGTTTGGACGAGGGTTATTATGAGTTTGGGCCCCTACCATATTTGGTCCATGTGGGAGAATATTTTGAGTTGGGCCTCCCCTTGCTGTAGGCCCACTTATTAAACTCTTATTGGGTAGGACTACATGAGAACAATGACTATATCCACCAATTAACCCATACCCATTTCGGCCCATTCTTCCCAAAATTGTTTCTCTTTCTTCTACTCATCGCTTCATGTGATCTCCTTGTTGCTGCTTCTTTCCATGGCAGACCTGTGCAATGAACCATTATCTTCTTGGTCTTCTACGTATCTTTCTTTCTCTTGTTTTTTTTTCTTCTATTTCTTCAATTCTCTGTGCAGCGAACATGTGAGTACAGATTTGTGCCTTGATTTTCTCTCTCAAAACCTTGATCTCTACTCTCCTCTTTTTCTCTCTTAGGCCTTTAATAAAATATCTAAACCCATTAGTTAGGAATTAGTTATATATAAATACTTAGACCTAGGTATGTTGGTATTGAGGGGGAGTCGAAGTCTTTTAAATTTATTTTTTACCATTAGTGTGTATAAGAAGCTTTCCTGTGTTTGTAAGGAACTTGTCTCTATTTATATTTTTCAATAATTTACAGTTAAATTTAGTGTTATTTGTCTGATTCGATCATTGAGACTCAGGACAAGAAATGATTTCATGACCTTTGTCTTGAGCTCCGTTTACACATACAGAGGTGACCCATATGCTACTAGCCTAGTGCATGCATGGTCATTAATTCTATCATGAAAACAAATTCAGTCAAGAATTTATTATTCACTTTTGAATAAAGTATTTGTTTGACATTGATGGAATTTGATGGCTCAAGATTCATTTAATTTGTGCTAGTCTAAATAGTAAATACAGTACTCAAAGTAAGAAGACTTAAGTAATATAGCAGCTCGTTTATTTGTTTGTTTAAAGGGGCGTTGACTAATTTGGGTTAGATTAGGACAGCATCAACATCATAAAATGAAATGATGATGCAGTTCCACCGAAAGAAAGGGATTCGACATTGCTTTTAGGTAGCATCCTACCGCCGGTGACCAATCATTGGTCTGCATTTCAGGATTTCATATGCGACATAGATACAGACAAACTACGCAACTTTTTCGTAACCAATGGCCTCCGTTGATCTTAACCTATCAAAACTTCTTTATCAAAACAAAATGAGCAAAAATTGAGTCAAAAGTTTCTCCATCTCGATCTTGAGCTTGTGCTCATAAGATTGAAATTTCCTTTGGCAGCAAACATACAAAAATAAATAAACAACAATGTTAGTTTATATATTCTCCATCTCTGTAAATTCACATATAAAAGTTTTTAATACCCGAGCTTTTTTTATCATTGTATCCCTCATTAATTAAAAACAATTAATTTACCTCTTATCCAAAACATTCCACCAATCCGCCCCTTTTTACTGTATTTAATCGATTACAACACGTAAGTAATCAATTACATGTTCAAAAAAAACTTTGACCGTTGATCCCACAAGTTAATCAATTACATTATAGTAATATACTTGATTAACTTGCGGCAGGGACTTTTTTTAAAACCCCATTTAGCCCCGTGGTTATAATCGATACCCTAATCGATTACCCCATACCCTACGTCTTCTCCTTCATGATTTTTGCCGAAAATCTTGTTGCAATCGTGTGATGGATTCATAAAACAACATCAATCTCTCATTCCTCTCACTTTTTGGTATGTATTGTTCGATTTTTTTTTCTTTTCAATTTTTTATTTATTTATGAACCTTAGTTTGATTCACAATGATTTGGTTTGATTGGCTTTTCTGTTTTGCTTTGATTTTTCGATTTGATGTATATTTAGTTTAGATTTTGATGAATATATATGATAAATGCATCATCAGGATACACTCTCATTGACAACTCTCCCTTCTCTCTAGAACACTTACATGTACACTAGCTATAAGGTCTCATGAACTAAAACCTCAGATACCATAAAGCGTAACGCGCTATCTGCACCTAATTTGTTACTCCCTATAATATTGACGCAGTGCATGATAATTTGTAAAATCTACTTGGTCAGCAGTCACGCAACCAATAATCTGTTAATATCCTTTTTCTCCAACTTTCGGACGATGTAAATACATTTAAGGGGCACCATGGCAAGATATATATATATATAACTTACAGCCTACATCAAAATTGTCATACATGAATTTTAGGATATTTAAATCTTAGGTGGCTACTAATCAGCAATCCTTTGAAACTTCACCTTTTCTTCATCAAAATTGCCCATGTGCTTCCTTTTCTTCGATAATTTAGTAGAATTTTGAAATCCATTTTGTTCATTATATTGAGCAGCTGTTCGAGTCCTTAGTTCTTCCAAACTATCACTTTCTTTCGCGCGCTCTATCACCTGAAAATAATAAGGACCATTAATTTCAAATATTAACAGAACTTTCGACACCACATAAAAACAAGGGGGAAGAAGGGGCTGTAAAGGGGATTTCACTAAATAGAATTTCTCAAATCCATAATTAGTTTCACTTACCAGACGCCTACCATACAGGTGGGTGCGTGAGTGTGCTTCAAGAGCATTTTGTGCCTCCTGCTGAGTAACATACTCCACAAAAGCAAAGCCTCTATGACTTCCAAACTTCTTTGGCAACCTTAAGCTTTTAATCTGCACGGTTTTGAGCCATCAAACATGAGTGAAAAGCAAACACAGCATATTTGCACCAGAGAACTAAACCTACACATTTTGGCTGAAATGGACCAACAGTTTCATTGGATGGATCGACCACAGATTTAAAGATAACTTCTGGATGTTAGTATACTTTCCTTAGAATGTGTCATTACTTGTAATACATGCATTCAGTTATAACTTGGACAGGAGAAAGAAAAAATATTTATTAGCGATTGGCGCAAACTATCACTTTTAATAGTAATCACCTGGCCATATAGGCTAAAGAACTGTCTCAAGTCCTTCTTTGTTGCCTCAAAAGCAACATTTCTTACCAGCAATTTTATAGAACTCTTATCCTTCTCAACTGTCTTTCGTACTTGCCCGCCATTCTTGACATGACAAAGTTGTAAAATAAGAGCATGCCCGTCCAAAACAGTCCCCTAAACACACAAATAAAAAATAAAAATAAAAACAGAACTAGAATTAAGATCTAAAAATGCATATAACATGCATAGTTTGATTCAAATGTGTATACACCTGTAAATCTCTACAAACATTCTTAGTTGTCTCCGTGGAGTCAAACTCAACAAATCCATATCCCGAAGAAACTTTTTCCCCATTTTTCAAGTGCTTCTGCACCTATTTGGGACAGCAAAACAAAACTATAAAAGAAAAGAAGCAAAGTCAAAAAGAGTAAGGTGTTAGCACTGAAGCCCGTTACCTTGAAACTCAAAATTCTTCCCTCTTTTATGTGTTCAGTAAAATGCTTCCCCAGACGCTCATCTGATGTCTTGAAATTGAGGTTCTTGACACGCAGGGACTGAGCCTGAAGCATGATAGGTTAATCAACAATAGAAGAACAAGAATTATGAATTAGTTAGCAGCCGCTAATTTTAATAATTTCAAAATTAATATTGGCTTGTAAACAAAATAATCTGATAGAAAACTACTCTTCTTATTTTTTATTTTTTTATTTATAAATAATATTGGCTTATATATATATATTGTTTATTCTATGTTATTTCTTTTTATATTCAACTTGTTATAATTAATTGTTTGTGTCCCCCGTTAGTAAAAAAAAAAAAAACAGTATATTTCTATGAGTGACATAGAAGACTAGGTTTATCTACTATGCTGATGGGTATAACTAATATGTGTGGAAGAAGATTTAGGGAGTCTTTTACCGTTATATGGTTGCTTAATAGAATATTTAGGGGTAGAAGGGGAAACTAAAATGACAGCCTTATTTTATTAAATATAAAATGCTCAATAACATTGACTACACACACCAACTAAAGAATAATTTCAATCATTTGATACATGCCTAGGGTAGACCTAGTCAGTCAGCAACTGTGTATTCAAGTAGAACTGTAGAACATATACAAGGAAGGCACATACCTCCCCTTCCAGGGCATACTAATCCTTCAAAGTTGATAATCAATAATTTAAGGAAAAATTGTGTATCATTTTAAAGGACATAAAGTTGTGTCATTTTAAGTGAAAAAAAGAGATAAATCATGGAAGAGAGAGTAAAGGAAAAAAGTTTTAGAGATGTGAGTCCCACCTCTTTGTGAGAATGAAAGGATGTAAGGTGTGTCATTTAAAATGACACACCTATTTTTCCATAATTTAATATAGAAAATGATATCACATATTGAGGTAGTGTACTTATTGACATAGATAGAAAGAAAGTATTGAAGGAGCCAAAACAGAAACGAGTAGGAGCCTTCAATAAAAGAGTAAAATTAGTAGGGGGCTAAAGACTCATGCTGCAGCAATAAATATCAAAAAGAAAAGAAAATTTTCAACTTTTAAAATTAATAAGGGGTTAAATACTCATACCTCCAATATCTGTCCATTGTTTTAATATTTTGAGTCTTGATCCTAAGAGCATTAGATAATTTGCCAACGTAAAAGACTTCCAAGGTAGTAAAATGTAAAATTAATATCTCATTGCTATCCTTATTTTATTGTCACTTGCATCTAAAAGTTTCGCTGATACATTTCTATGCTTATATTTATCATTTGACCTTATTCTTCTTTCTCGTTTGCAATCTTGTATCAATTCTCCCAAAAGAATTTTTACAGAGGATCAGACAAGACTGTACAAAACTACAGTAAATGAATGATGAAAGAAAACAATTTAATAGGTCATACCTCTACTCTGTCTGGATCAATGTCCACATCTGATATTTTTTCCACGTGTTGCTCAAATATCAGCCGCTTGGCATCATTTTCATCAATTGGACTATTCATTTCATTATTTTTAGATGTTGCACTTGGGCTAAGAACATTGGAATGAGCCCACTCCAAGTATAATGGAGCATCCCTACGTTGAATAGAATATGAAACAAATAAATAACCTTCATTAAATCAAGGAAGAAGAGGCTTTGCAGCACCTATTGTTAGAACAGAGGGGTGGGGCTTTAAAAATTTAAACCATGGTTGTAGGTGCAAGTAGCATCATACACAATTACTTTTCCCTCCCTCACTCAAGACAAATTCCAAGCTTCAGTGCAATTACTACAGTAATACAAGTAAAAGCCACAAAGTTATCGGCGTCATCCTGGGTTAATTTTCCATCTCTTTTTGTCTATACTCTATATACATCCGGCACTTCCCTCTTTGTGTGTGTCAGAGAGAGAGTTTTGACAAAACTATTCTTGTCATTTTATCCTTTCCCCTTTTACAAATAACACAAAGAAGGGGAAGTTGCAGCATTGCAGCTAGTACACTTCAGACGTTCCTAATACATATTGCAAGCACAATAAACTTTCTCTTTCTTCTTCTTTTTTCTTTGAAGATCAAGATGCATACTAAAGAGAGAAAGAAACAACAAATTCACTCATGGAGGGTAGCCTAAAGGGTTGATTGTCGAAAGATAGAAGCAAAAGGAAATATTATTTAACGCTACTGAAGGGGACTCATGAAAAAAATATAATCTTACTTGTAACGCGTGTAACGTAAATGTTTAAAAGCTGCTTGAGCGTTCGCTGGTTCAAGGAAAACAACCTGAAATATCATCTCCAAATAATTCAAAGCTTTGCATAAATATCATTATACAATTAACGAGTAATACTAAGAACAACAACTTTTCAAATACCTCACTGCTGAAGGCAAAGTTCACCATTCAACTTAACAAGAAAAGTAAGAAGAAAAAAAACTAGGGTATACATAAGATAATAAGCTATCAAATATCCCCCCTCCCCCCCCCCCCCCCCCCCAAAAAAAAAAGCAGAGGTGTATCATAACCTTCATAAAATATGATGAGAGAGAAAAAAACACACCAGGGCCAATGTCTTTGTGGGAGGGAGATTTATTTTGTCCAAATTACCGAATTTCCCAAACTTCTTTGCAAGTTCATTTTTTGTAGAACCGTAATGCAAGTTCTTCACTAAAATCACATGGTTACTTCTTTTTAAGCCGTCAACTTTTCCATTTGCAAGTTCCTCCAAAGACTCCACATTCACTCCGGCATTTGTAAATGCCTTTTTTCTCTCTAAAATCACTTGAGTTTCTCCCAGAGCAATACGTACAGCAAGATCATCAGCTTCTACGTCAAGTAAATCACTTTTACTGACACCATATTTCCGGGCAATGTATTCCACAACCTATTTGTTGGATATATGCTCTTTTGGTCACTAAAGTCCTATTGGGCTTCAGTGAAACTTGAGCCCATGAGGCTTAGGGTTGAGTTATGTCTAAGACCTAAGCGTATATATTCATAGTTTTCTCCTCTTGTGCCTCCAAGGTGAACAGATCATCAGAAACAAACCCCAAGAGGCAGACGTTCATCATCTGAACGGTTGCCCACACAACTATTTCATCCTCCTCGAGAGATAGTCTGGAAGATCTGCCACAGTCCAGCTTCAAGGAGGTTGTTCGTATTGCGGCGCTGAGGTGAGTTGTTCGTGAAGAGGAATCCTACAAGGGAAGATTCTACACGAGACCTGCGCACCGAGAGGTAATTGTGAAACAAGGATGATTCGGTAAGCATACCAATGTACTAGGTCCTAAACCGCTTCCGCATAAATCTAAGATTTCCTACAATTGGTATCAGAGCCTTGGCTGTACATTGGTATGTGAATCTAGTTTCACTATTCATGTAATTAGTTTTGCTTCTTGAAATGTGGCACCTAGGGTTCTAGGATTATGGTATGAATCTAGCATGTGTATTTTATAATTCATTTTCATAAAAGTTTAAATTTTAATCGGTAAAAATGCTTTAATCCATGGTTAGGGTCTCTCGTGTATTTCTCGATTTGTAACAAGGAGGCTAATCCCATATGATTAGGTTTCCTCCTTGCTGTTTTTATTTATTTTCGGAATTTCTGTGTATTTTTCCAATATTTTGTAAAAGTTAAAGATCGAGAAACCGCGAGTAAGATGCGCAGTCAGTACTGTCGGAGACTTTTAGAGGACTTCCCGATCTTGGAATGGGGCGATCTATATATGGTTGGAAAGAGGACGGAAAGACGAACGCAGCAGTGGGTAGATCGTCGCCATCGGAGCCTTCACGCTCCTCCACGCGCCTTCACAAGCGTATGAGAGTGGCCGCCACTCTCCGGCAAAGAATGGGAGAGTGAGGGAGCGTCCGGCCACCTTTTTGGGTGGTTCCGGCGGCGGTGCACTCGTCTCTACGTGGAGGTACTTCCCCTGGAGTTTCATCCTAATTTGACTTCGGGTGACGGCGCGGCAGACCTGACGGTTAGGGTTCCTCTTTCGCGTCCTAGGGTTTCTCGCCAAAGGATTGAGTCTTTGGACTTTTGGGCCCATGAAACCCTAAAGGGGCTTGAGACATATACTATGGGCTAGGCGAAAGTCGAATTCCAAAGTTGTATTATTTAATTTTATTTTATTTTATTTTCTTTAAAATAGGAAAGCCATGGATTAAAGTAATTATGATTTATTATTTAATGCTTTTATTGATTGGTATAAATTATATGATTGATAACATGCTTTATTGCGATAACATGCCATATAGAATAGGTGGTGCCATATTGTTGCATAACTTGTATGATTGCATGAGCATAATAGCTATTATGTCTTCAACGAGTAGTATGATAGTTATTATGGGATTATTTTGATTTCAAATCATCCTAAGAAATTAATTAATAATTATTATGATTTTTATTAAAAATCTAGATTAATAATTGAATTAATTAATTTTGGATAATTAACATCAAGACAAATAATCGTTATGGAAATTATTTTGATATCAAATTATCCTCATAAATGATAATTATTATGATTGTTGCAATCTAGATTAATAATTAAGTCAGCTATTTGGATGATTTAAATCTAGAAAAATAATTAGAGAAAATTTCCTAAGAGAATTCTTTTATTTTGCGAGTAATTTGTGGGTTTTCTGAAATGGTCATGGAATAACACACGCTGCATACAACCTTCATGTATCATGATTGTTTGGAGCACACGCTGACGTAAAGTGACCGGATTTCAGGACCTTAATGCTTTCAAAATTATGTTAAGCTTAGTGCACGTTTATCGGCGCTCTTACTTATATAGTTTTTGAAATCGAACAAAGGATACTCTCAATTAAATAATTCTTGGAAATTAGAAAATGTTGCTTATGTTGAATGGAAGGAGATTTAAATTAAGAGATTAATTTAACCTTCAAGCGCATTATAGGACCATTAATAAAATAATCATGTGAAGTCCCATCGAATAAGCATGATTGGATTTTATTAGATTGGACTTAAATATCTATGGGAGGAGACTTAAATTAAGAAATTAATTTATCCTCCAGGCGCATTGTGCGTCTATCAATAAAATAATCATGTAAGGCCTCAACAGATAAGGATGGTTGGATTTTATTGGGCCTTAATAATTTCAAAATTTTAATAAAGTATTGTACGTCCCATCGTCGATAATACTAAGTTATTAAAGATAATTTTGAAATTAAACAATGAATTCGACTGGGCTTATGAAAATTCTCAAACAAAAATGTTGAATGGGTGAAGGTTTTAAAAATTAATTAATTTTAAAACATGCGGGCTCCATTTGTGGGTTTATTAGTGAAATGGTTATCGCTGAAGCCCCATCGGATAAGGGTAATCAGATTTCACTAGATTAAATCTTAATAATTTCAAAATTTTAGTAAAGTATTGTACGGCCCATCGTCGGCAATGCTTAGACACTAAGGATAATTTTGAAATTAAACAATGGTTAATTACATTCAACTTTGGTAAAATTGTTAACCCTCCCATCGAGGCTCTGGCAATGGCACTGAAGGCCCAAATAACAATTTTGGTTTTTACAAGTGACTTGCCCATCGTAAGCCTTGTAAAGATAAACTGAAGGATTGTTAACAATAAACAAGAGTAGTTATGAGAATCTACTCGCACTTCGTTTGTTTATTGCATTATTTGTTTGTAATTGTGTGCTTTATATGTTTTTCAGAAAATATCTTAGAAATGATTTTGAGTCGAAAACCTCTAGATGGTACCAACTATGAATAAGTGAAAAGCAAATTTTTTGATATTGTTCTAAAACATGGAAGCTAAAATTTGTTCTGACAATGCGAGGGCCATAGCAACCTGCAGAGGATGCGTCTTAGGAAACTAAGATGCATTTCTCAGATTAGGAAAGGGCAGATATGGTAGTTCGCTGCTATATTATTGTCAGTCTTTCCAAATACTTGCAGAAGCAAGTGTACATGATTAAGAGTGGAGTAGAAATGCTTCAGACTCTCAATGACATGTTTGCTGCGTCTAGCAGCTCTGCTAGACAGAATGCAGTCGGTGCAGGTTTTGCTAAGAGTCTTGTTAAATCCAAAGGGAAACCCAAGGGTGGTAACAAGAACAAAATGACTTGGTTATCAGTTGTCAAACCAGTTGCTATGAAGAAGCCGCAAGGCAAGTTCTTCAAGTGCAGACTGAAGGGATACTGAAAGAAAAATTGTCCAGAGGTGATGAAAAGAACCTGACATGGGCATATCAAGGCCTGATCAGTGAATGAATTACTGATTCAGGAATCACTGATTATGTTTGTTACTCTTTGTAGTAGTTCAAACATGGCATACCTGTCAGCAATGGACATATATTTTAAGCTTGAAAATGGGAACTTGTGTCTGCATTTGCAGTAGGACAAGTTATTTATAAGACTATGGTTTTAGGTGACTGTTTATTTGTTCCAGATTTCAAGAGGAATTCAATTTTTGTTAGTTGTTTTGGTTAAAACATGGTTTGACAATGCAATTGATTCCTCAGTTACATTTCGAAGTTCATCTTCGTCTTGTTTTGTTCTGGTACATTGTTTAAATAGTCTTTATTACCTTTGTCTTATACCCCCCTAAATTTTTTGTGTTGAATGGAAAGGATGATGAACAAGGATTTTCACCAAAGAAATAAAAGTTTCAAATGAAACATAACTTTGGCCTTTGTGATTGAGTCACATTATCTCAAGTAGGAAACATCTTTTAGTTAAAAGAGGGACTGAAAGTTCAAGAATCTTTTAACTAACAGCTACATGTTAGTCCTATTTGGAAGGTAAAGTGGCCAAGCAATCCTACAAGGGCCAAGAAGGTTTGCGTAACTATTCAACTGGAACTGGTACATACTAAAGTATGTGGACCACTTAGCGTTCAGACTAGAAGAGGTGATGAGTACTTCATTATATGAATGTTTACTCTGGATTGGGACAGATGAACCAAGTGCGCTATAAGTCTAAAGCTTTTGGAAATTCCAAGAGGTTTAGTCTGAGGCAGAAAAACATGTAGGTGTTCAAATCAAAAACACTTTGGTCTGACTAAAGTGTTGGCTACCTGTCTGGTAAGTTCAGGTCTTACCTGATTTAAGAGGGGATAGTTTTTGTAACTGTCAACTCTAAGAACACATTAGTTGAATGAAGTTGCAGTATGCAAAAATCAAACATTTCTAGACTTGGTGAAGATCATGTTCAATTATTCATCTTTGTCAATGTTGTTCAAGGGAGATGCCTAAGAGAAGGAAATGTACCTTCTTAACTTGATTCCGTCAAAAGTTTGTTGCAAAGACACCTAAAGAATTATGGAAAGGGTGCAAGCCCAGATCAAACCATATTCGGATTTAGGGTGCTACGACACACGTCCTACAACAACAGTCAAATGAGATGGAATCTTGTATGGAAGAGTGCATATCTTTTGGCTACCCTAAGAGAACTAGGGATGATTTCTTATTTAGTCTTAAGGACAAGATAATCTAAGTGAGCACTTACATGATTTTCTTAAAGGAGGACTAGATAAGAAATTATAAGCTCTTAAGTTAGGTTATTCTTGATGAGATTTATCTCAGATCAAGAATTTCCAGAATCTCTAGAAGCTTCATCCACTGTTCCCTTGATTGTTCAAGAGGGGATAAATATATCTCTAAGTGAACAAACAAGAGAACCATGATTGGAAATTCAACATGATAATATATAAGTGAAACTAGTAGAAATATTAGTATCACATGTAAAGGAACAATATCAAGGATAATCGGATCCTCAAGAAATTGAAGACCCATCATTTGACCCACTATTTGTTTTACCTATAAATACACAAGGTCTAGTGCAGTATATTCGTAGTAGGAGAGAACCTTGTTAACTCTCAAGTTGTCTCTTGTTGAGTGATATTGATCCTACTAGTTACGATAATACACTAGAAGATGTTGTTGATCAAGTGTTGCTCACGCTATGAACAATGAGATGAAATACTTGTATTTCAACTCCGTTCGGTCCTAGTAAATACACCAAGAGGGGTAAAACCCACAAGGTGCATGTGGACATAAAAGGCAAAGAGAGGATGGACAGAAAGGTGAAAACCTTCAAAGCTAGCTTGGAGGCATTTTTTGCCAGATGCCATGCTTGAGTCTATCCAGATTCTCTTAGTTGCTATAAGTCTCAATTATGAGATTTCATTTTGGGAGTTGGATGTCAGGATATCTACATACAACAACCAAAAGGGTTTATAGCAAATGAGTAGGAACACACTGTATGCAAGTTGTGAAAGTCTATTTCATAGACTTAAGCAAGCATCCAGGTCTTGAAACATCAGTTTTGATCAGGTTATCAAAATTTTGATTTTGAGAGAACCTTGATGAATGATGTGTATTTGTATGTAAAGGATACAAAGGAAGACAGTAGCTTTTCTGGTACTTTATGTAGATGATATGCTCTTTATTAGAAACAATGTGGAGGTAATATCAAGCATAAAGAGTTGGCTAAGTTAGTGTTTTGGTATGGAAGTACTGGGGAAGCCAATTATATTCTTAGTATAAAACTCTTATGAGACCGGAAGAATAAGTTGTTGGCATCACCTCAGGCTACTTACATTGACAAAACCCAAAATTCAACATGAGAATTCTAAGAGAAGAATTATAATTCTCAGATGTGAAATTCATCTTCCTAAGGAGTGACCAAAGACTTCTAAGAAAGAAGAATGCATGAGCAAGATATCTTATGCTTTGGCAAAGGTAGACTCACGCATATCATGTTGGGCGTTAAACCAGACATCTGTCACGCAGTGGGAGTAGTGAGATAGTACCATTTTGAACCTAGAGGAATACTAGATTATTGTTAAGCATGTACTCAAGTATCTTTGGAGAACGAGAGATTATATGCTGGTATATTCTAGTGGGAGTCTTGAAAAGCTGAGTTTTCAAAAATTCAGTTATTTCAAGTGGATATTGACTCAAGAAAATCAACCTCGAGCTATGAGTTTTTCACTAAACTCAGATAACATTAGAGGTGGATCTTGCAGACCCAGTTACTAAGAGTTTGCCTGAACTTGTGTTCGAGAGGCATGTTACTTCTTTGGGTCTTAGGAGGATCCCAGACTTGCATTAAGAAAGTGGGAGTTATTGGTTTCATTGTGTTCTTGGAGTAAGACGATGAAACAATAAAATAATTTTCTGAATTTCATAAATAAGGTTTTATTTATTTATTTTGCGCACTATTTACAAACATAAAGGTCCGGATCAAATTGTGGAGTATATGATCATATGGATACGTTCATAGAGGACATGATCATAGGTTCTCACAATTGATGAATGGATTCACAGCTGTTAAATAAAGTTGGGCACTTTATTTAGGCTGCAATATTTTATGAAATGGTTTTGTCTGAATCATTGTAAAATATTGGTGTGAGTTAACATTCACATTGAAAGGATCAAGGAGAGATTTGATTAAGGTTGTTTTTCTGTCATAAGGTATCAAATCTCCAGTTAACTATAGTTATGTGATTGCTCTTAATCCTGAGTTTATGATAAATAGGTAATCAAATAGTTTTCATTCTTTGATTTACCAACGGGTGAGGTCCGATCTTTTGACGGCCAATAACTCGGTGTTTTGGGAGTGAGATTATTTGATTATCGGTATTTATGAGATAAACAACATGGAATTTGTAGGATATGTCCCCTTGATATGTTTCGGTACTTGGATATTAAAGACACTGGCCAGTGCATGTAATCCATTAGAGAAACTATCAAAGTCAAGGGAATAAATAATTGATTGGGTTACAGAAAACTAATCAATGAATTATAGACATTCTATAAAGGGGCAATGCATATTAATGTTATAAAGGTCATTAATCTTGGAGTTCACGTTCGGGCTTTTAGTGGAGTAGCGCCGAATTAGATAATCTTGTAAAGATTATCAGGAGCCTTGATCAATGACAAATGGTAGGTCCCCAGGCTACTCGAGACAAGGGATGGGGTATATTATCAGATGATGATAGCTTATGGTCTACATGGTCTTGGGTTTACGAACTCAAGTTTGTATCTTAAAAGAGCAAGTGGGAGATTGTTGGATATATGCTCTTTTGGTCACTAAATTCCTATTGGGCTTCAGTGAAACTTGAGCCCATGAGGCTTAGGGTTGAGTTATGTCTAAGACCTAAGCGTATATATTCATAGTTTTCTCCTCTTGTGCCTCCAAGGTGAACAGATCATCAGAAACAAACCCCAAGAGGCAGACGTTCATCATCTGAACGGTTGCCCACACAACCATCTCATCCTCCTCGAGAGATAGTCTGGAAGATCTGCCACAGTCCAGCTTCAAGGAGGTTGTTCGTGTTGCGGCACTGAGGTGAGCTGTTCGTGAAGAGGAATCCTACAAGGGAAGATTCTACACGAGACCTGCGCACCGAGAGGTAATTGTGAAACAAGGATGATTCGGTAAGCATACCAATGTATTAGGTCCTAAACCGCTTCCGCATAAATCTAAGATTTCCTACACTATTAACATCAAGACATGATTAAAAATATGTATAAGGAAACAAGCAACCTCAGACCAAAAGAGAGCATCACCCAAAAACACTTTTAGGAAGTATAATCAGCAACACAGTGACGTTAATTTCATCATAGGAAAACAAGATGTTGTAAATATGGAAGATATTTGTAAATATTTGTTTCCTTTAATAGTCAAATTATGTAATTATTTGTTTCCTTTATTAGTCAGATTATGTTTCATTTATTTGGAGGCAATCCTACAAATAAGAGCAGCCCTCTCCAACCATTGAATTGGGAAAACTGCACAAACAAGGAAAACCCCAAAAAGCTCGCCAACGACCCCCCCAACTAACTTGTTCCATGAGGGACAAGTGAAAATTTGTTTATAAACTAAAGCAGCAAAACACATAAGGGACAACCGACAGCATAAGAATGGTTAAAAACTGAAAACTAACTAGAACAAGTTGTGATTTTTGTTAAAAAAATAAAGATAACGATAAGGATAATTTAGAATTTTAATGTACTGTTTTTTACTCCATAAATGTTGAAATCATAGAACCATCAATTGATTGCAATTTGTTAAGTTTCAACAAACATACTGTATCAGGGCGCATGAACGAACTATTCCATGCTTTGGTATCTCCACTGGCTTCAGTCAACTTCCTCTCTTCCTCTCTCCGTTGTTTGAGAGTTTTAGTTCTTTGATCCTTTGAAACATTGTTCCTACCGCAGGCAAAACCATAAACTGTCATGATAACATAAAATGAATGACATTACAATTTCAAAACTGTTCATAATGCAATATTTTACATACCCATCATAGTTTGAAGGTCTTTGTTTGGCTGGCTTAACATGCATCAATCTTCCTTGAAAGATTGGATTTTTTTTTTCTAGCGCGAGCGCCCTGATAAGCAATGATCATACTCTCATGTAAATTATCAGCTAAACAATTTTACTAACACTTTGTCAGCTGATGACAAGTACCAGCTAAACTAAATTGAAACAGTATTAGTGTTAGAAGTGGCATGATTGCATAAACATGAAGCAAACAACACTAAAATGTTGCAGCTTTCTGAACTCGATTGATGTTGGAGATACAATTCAGTTGGGAGGGGATCATATAGTTCCAACCAACTTTTTATTCATTGCAAAACCTAATTGCAAAATCCAGATTTCGGGATTTTGAGCACTAAAATACAAAATATGGTATTTTTTTTATTAAAACAAGTATTATGTAAAGGAAACAATAACAAAACAAAATACTTGGACTAGATGTCCTCTTAGCAGAAACACAAAGAAACACAGAAAAGACAAAATGTGAAGCCCAATCATTTGCATAACTACTAAGACACTTAAATAGACAATGGAGTGAACACTAAAAGGTGGTCGTAAAAATAAACCTGTCCAAGCTCCTACCCTAAGGACTAAGGGCTGTGAAGAATCCTTGAAGGCATATGATAGAGTCCTACAGCACAAATACAGAACTAACACCAGAGAACATAAAATTTCTATATATTCATGAAGTTTCAAAGAACATTACAACCCAAATGACAGTGAACAAAGACAATTATAGTGAAAAGGAAATTAACAGGTGACTGTAAAATGAAACAAATCGAAAAATGAAAGGATAAAGTTGTAGAGCAATTAGGAGAGGCTCTACTCTCTCTCAGGTCCATTTCCACGTCCAAATTCCCAATAGACCTTTCCGCACCACTCTCCCCAATTTGACTAACTGCATCCACGTGACCTGTTCTTCATTCTGTTAGAAGTTAATTTGGAAATTTTTCAATTGCTGACGTGGCTGCTAAATCAGCTTTTGAGAGCCAAACCCTCGTATTTTTATCTTTCTTGTAAACCTTTAAGGGTCGGGCCTTATCAATACTTCCTCCCATTTTAAGCATCTTGTCCTCAATGTGGAAAAGTGGAAATTGAAGATTGATGACCTCTGTAAAGAACCAATTCAACCCAAAAGCTTAAGCTGGTGGGTGAGGGCTTCTTAATGATTTATATATCTCAACATGCCCCCTCACATGAGAGCCCATTGGGCTTGAAGAGTGGACAATGCACAGGCCCACCTACCTGTGCGAAGAAAAAAATTTCACTAGAAAGAAAGTGGAGGGCGGTGAGTATCGAACCCGGTACACCGAGGCTCTGATACCATGTAAAGAACCAATTCAACCCAAAAGCTTAACCTAGTGGGTGATGGCTTTTCAATGGTTTTATATATCTCAACAACTTCAAACTCTTACCAAGTATATTCAGAATCAGGGAGCTGATGCCATTTAATTAAAACTTGCAGAACACCTTTATCAGAATACCTCTATTGCAATACAGATTCAGGTTCCACCTGCAGTTCTCACTCCTCATTTAGAATCAGAGGTAAAGGTTGGGCATGAGGCACTGTGGTGATAGCTTTTTTAAGGAGTGACGCATGAAAAACTGGGTTCTCCTTTCAACCCTCTAGTAGTTGAATTCTATACCAATACATTCCACAATTGGGTACGGACCATAATACCTCGGACTCAATTTCTCATTTGACCTCCTATCAATGGATTTTAGACAACAAGGTTGCAACTTCAGGTATACTAAGTCTCCTACATTGAAATTTACCTTTCTTCTATGCTGATTAGCATGCAATTTCGTACGGTCTTGAGCCTGCAACAGGTTCTGCTGCAACTCATACAGAATAATATCTCATTCAGCTAAAGATTGGGACACCGCATCAATCGAAGGAACAAACCTACCACAACGAAGTAGAGTTGGGGGATCCCTCCCATATAGTTCCTTGAAAGGTGTCATCTCCATGGAGTCTTTGTAAGTTGTGTTATACCAAAATTTAGCCTAATAGACCTATTTAGGCCACTGCCTAGGCTTTGAGCTATAGAAACATCTTAGGTATGCCTCCAAACATCTATTTACTACTTTCGTTTGCCCATTTGAATGAGGGTGATAAGTTGTACAATAGTTGAGTTTTTTTCCCACACTCTTGAATAATTCAGCCCAAAAAGAACTTAGGAAGACCCTGTCTTTATCCAAAACAATTGTTAGAGGTAAACCATGAAGTTTCACCACCTCGCTAATAAACAAGTCAGCAATTTCCTTAGTTGTGTACGGGTGCTTAATTGAGAAAAAATGGGCATACTTTGTGAGGAAATCCACTACCACAAATATAGTACCTACTGCCGTTGCCTTCGGAAGTCCACCCACAAAATCCATTGAAATGTCAGACCACACGCTATTAGGAATGGGAAGGGGCTGTAATACTCCAGCTAGGCTTAGGTTCCGAGCTTTGCATTGTTGGCACACTTCACATGCAGCCACAACTCTTTAATACAACGCTTCATTCCTACCCAATAAACCAACCCAGCCAACCTTTTGTATGTGCGTAGATAGCCAAATGTCCCCCCAAGCAAGAATCATCATAATCCTTTAGAAGGAGTGGAATAAATCTGGATCCTTTATGCAACACCAACCTACCCCTGTAAAAAAGCCTCATCTCTTTCACCTCAAATCCCTCATGTGCCTCAGGACTAACAATCAGAACTTGAATGATGGTTTTGAGTTTGCTGTCCTATTGCACCTCACTCTCTAATTCATCTAAATCCAATAATTGAACTCGTGAGATGGCAGCAAACTGCATTTGACGGGATAATGCATCAGCAACTTGGTTCTCCTTTCATGGTTGATAATGAATTTCAAAATCAAACCCTAATAATTTCGAAATCTATTTTTGTTGATATTCCCCCAACACACGCTGCTCAGTTAAGAATTTTAAGCTCTTTTGATCTGTTTTCATAATGAAATGACGTCCTATCAGATAATGCCTCCATTTTTGCATCGCGAACACAATAGCCATCAATTCTTTTCCATATATATACTTGTTTTGTGCTCTAGGGGAAAAACATTAGCTAATATAAGCCATGGGTTGATTGTCTTGCACAAAAACTGCCCCAATCCCTTTGCCTGAAGCATCTGTTACCACTGTGACGATTTTTGTGAAATTCGTTAAGGCTAAAACTGGGATTGTACTCATTTTCGGTAAAGCAAATTAAAAGCTTGTTGAGCCTCCAAATTCCACTTAAATCCATCATTTTTAAGGAGATCAGTGAGTTGTTTAGCTAACTTCCCATAATCTTTAACAAACTTCCAATAATACCCGATTAAGCCAAGAAAACCTCTTAACCCCTTTATGTCTTTTGGAACTGGCCAGTCAGTCATGCCTTTGATTTTTTTTCTAGGTCAGCACTTATTCCTTCCATTGAAATTATGTGCCCTACATACTCCATCTTGTCTCTTCCAAAACTACATTTCTTTTTCTGTTAGTACCAATTGGTTCTGTCTTAGACTTTGAAAGACAGCTCTCAAGTGCTCCAAGTGTTCTTCACGGCTTCTACGTTTGCACCCCCCCCACTAGAATAGGTAGAGGTCCTGTTTGATTTGTGTTCCTTGTATGCTGATTTCGACTCCCTTGCACACTCCCTGACAACTAATCTTGTGTCCATCACTGACCTTGACTTGATATGCAAGGGTATCGGTCACTATCAGCCCCAACTCCTCCACGATTTTTTTTTCTTCACAAAATTATTTGAAGCCCCACAGTCTATCATTATGATAACTTTCTGACCATGAATTTCTCCCCACACCTTGAGTGTTTGGATTGAAGTGATCCCTAATAGGCTTTGCATAGAAAGTTGCAAAGCCATCTCCGAGTTTCCTTCTATTTCAGGCTGATTTTCGTCAACAACGTTCGCTTTTGCCGATGGTTTCGTCACTCCATCATCATCTTCATCCACCACCAACAGATGCAGCTGGCGCACGACACACCTATGGTTTGAGCTCCAATGTTCATCACACTCGAAACACTCCATGCCTTTGTCGATCTCGCAGCTCTGCTTGTGTGAACAATCTACCATTACTATCCTGACTTTCCCGAGCTAGTTTACCACTCACCCCCAAATTCATGGTATGAGTTGTACCTTTGTCATTGTTGTTCTAGGGAATTCGTGGGTTAGATTGACCCATATTTTGGGAATTTTGTGAAACGGGTGATGGGTTTAGAGAACCCATTTGAATCGAGTTAAAATGACCCGCATTGTAATGGTCCACTGTTCTGTTTTCACCGTAATTAGTGTTGGTTCATTGGGCTTGACTTCCTTTAGTTGGCCCATAAGAAGACCTACGCCCCCTAGCCCCAAAACCCTCCTCTATCCATGCTAGGTTCCTTTTCTCAATTTTCAGAGAATATTTCATCATCTCTGACAAACTAATTGTTGGGTTCAGGAGCAATTCTTCCTTGATACTAGGTTTGACCTCATTCATCCATGCTCCCTTTAAAAGTTCTTCATCTTCAAATCGCAGAGGTCCAATTACCTTCACAAATTCGCTTCTAAATTCGGCTATTGTTCCCACTTGCTTCAGTGTATATAAAGCTCGGTAGGGATTGTTTATGGCTTCGGGTTGAAACCTTCTAAGCAACTTTCGGCGAAATTGAGCCCAAGTAGCATTTGGATTATTGACCTCCTCAATTGGTACCAGTACAACGCGTTATCTTCTAGACAATTAGCACAACAACTAACTTTTCTTCTTCAACGATTCCGTTCACCACAAAATATCTTTATGTAACATCCCAAGCGCTGACGAGGGCGATCACTCCCCGCCGGTGCGAAAGGGCATGGACAAGGAGCGACTCCTGACAGGCTTCCAACGGGGGGTTACATGCATGAATGAATCGAATCGACACCCGAAAGAGAGAGATTCCAAAGACTGTGCAAGTATGAGACTGCACAGTTTTGGATAGCTTATAAGAATTAATTAGTATTACCTATACTAACAAGATGCATCTGCTTTTAGGTAGCCCGGAACAAAAGAACTCCACAGTTAAGCGTGCTTAACTTGGAGCAATTCTGGAATGGGTGACCTCCTAGGAAGTTTTCTCAGGAAGTGTGCGAGTGAGGAAAAAGCACACTGGAAAGTCTCGTGCTAGTATGTGGGGATAGTCATTGATTCTTGAAGCGGCCGTGCATTACAAGTGGTATCAGAGCAGAGCCTCTTTTCTAGTACGATGTGGTTCGAGGACGAACCAGACGAAAGCTGGTGGGCATGTAATCACCGTAAAGACTTTCCCTCCTAGGTTCTACCAAAGCCTCTAAAGCTAATAAGAAGAATTGAGTCGACAGACCTAAAACCACCAAAGAACCAACCCCAGATGGAAGTGGCTCTAGGGAAGTCTAGAAAGTAAAATGGTCCAAAGATTATGCCAACATCTGCAACCCGGAGATTCTTTATAGAATGAAATGACATGATGCTGTATGAAGTAAAAGAACAAGACTTGCAACACCACAAAAGTTGACACAAATAAAGGTAAAACAACAAATTTTAGCCACCAAATTGTTACCTAGATGCAAATTCTGGAAGTGAAAAAAGAATATACGCTATTCCTTTGGATCGTTTAGTATCTTTATCAACAACTAGATGAACCTGTGATACACTACCATACCGACTGAAATGCTCTTCCAGTTCAGCCTCACTGTAACAAAATAACAATATAATAATTAAAACCGACTACGAAAATAAACAATGTTAAGGTCAAATGAAACCATAAAAGCACTGATAGATAATTCAACTCGCTAAAGACATTTTTTCGTTGAAAAACAATTTAATTAGAAAAGTTGGCATAATAATATCACACAAAAGAGAGAATATATATATATATATATATATATATATATATATATATATATATATATGAGGTAGGATCTTTTGACACCAGTGTCAAATTTTATCAAATTTTAAATTTGACACCTCATCTGAGAGCCATTAGATTAAAAAAGATCAACGACTCTGATTTGTAATCACGTGACATCATTGATCTTTTTGATCTAACGGCTCTCAGATGAGATGTCAAACTTCAAATTTGACACTGGTGTCAAACGATCCTACCTCTATATATATATATATATATATATATATGAAATTTGCTTCTCTCCCTTTGTAGAAAAATTGTCAAACTCTCTGCTCACACAAAGAAACAATGGGCCCCATATGTTAGTGCAGGAAAAAAAATTCACATTACTACTGCATAGGAAAAAGTTTATCCTCTATATATATATATATATATATATATATATATATATATATATATACGTACGTGGTCATATATGGCAGATTATGGACAAACAGTCGGCAGGGCTCAAAAACTCCTTTCTCATCTTCTGAATTTGAAACTTGGCCCCCTTGCTCAGTTGCATTCACTTGAGCCTTTTCATGGTCAACATCCTCTCCAGAAGTATCTTCTTGGCCCTCCAGGTCTAACTGTTGAGCATCATTTCTTCCGGTTCTTTTGGAAGATTTATTATCACAATTTTCTTCATCTTCATTAACATGACTATGATTGTCTTTGCCGTGATCATCAATGCATACCGAATCATTGTTGTCATTATCATCTTCATCATCACTACTTCCAGAATCAGACCACTTCTCTGTCACTCTACGCTTGAAATAGTCCATATCAGAAATGACTTCATCATGTTCAAGATCCCGTGACTTGTTGGGTTCAGGATTATTTGGAAAGCCATCTTCTAATGCACTTTGATGTAAGACGCGATGGTTCGCAGCCGATGTACCCTTGTTATCCTTATTTGATATTGCTTGATGGTTGCCAACACTGGATACAACTGATGTATCATTTGCCCACAGTTTAGACTTAGCCCGAGGCTCCATGACCTGAAGAAAATCTTTAAGCTGTTGGTCATCAATATCAACAACGTCCTTGGAATCTTCTCCTTGTCCTTTAGCTCCAGAATGTTCCTTCACATATCGACTCCTTGTTGTCTTTATTATCCTTGGCATCTTATGTTTGTTCACATTAGATGGGGTGGTCCCTTTATTGTCTTTCTGTTTTGAATATCGACTCCATGGCTGAGGAAGACTTGGATCACCAAGTTTTTGAGCCACCTGCTTGGTCAATGAGAATTTAGTAAAGCAAGTTGTGTGGCTTTCAGTTTCAGTAATAGAAATTTCAAATATGACAGAAAATAATAGAGTAACAGAACAGAAGAAAAGAAAAAGAGTTGTATAAAAGTTAACAGACCTCACAAGTTATTTTTTGTGTGTCAAGGCAAGTCCCATTGAAATAATCAATAGCTTCCTGAGCTTCATGCTCTGTACGAAATCCAATAAAACCAAATCGGCGACTCTTACCTTCCCTGAGGTAACAAGCAAATCAACATAAAATAAAACAATTATAATTTATTGGAAAAAGTATGTATCAATTTTAACGGATGTAAAGTTATGTCATTTTAAGGAGAGAAAAAAATAGATAAAGATGAAAAGAAAATGGACAAAAAAATATAAAAGTGTGGATCTCAGCTCTTTGTGAGAGTGAAAATGAAATGATATAAATTATGTCATGTAAACCGATGAACACTTTTCCTTAATTTATTTATATGAATGTCGAGAAAATAACCTCTTTACAATTATGCAAAAGATAAGGTGAAAATACAAAAATTACTTTTACCCCACATTGGCTAATAGAATTCAAGGGGAAGTGGTTTTTTAATATCGAGAAAGAGTGATATAGGGATATTATGATTTCAGGAAAGAAAGAGTACTTGGTACGTATAAGCTTGACGTCAGTGATTTCTCCCTTTTCAGAAAAGAATTCTCGTAGTCGATCCTCCCTCACATATTTTGGGAGATTCTTCACACATATCCTCGACCTGCACACACACACATTACCAAATTATTTATTATATTGGTTATGATTCATTGTGTGTTTAAGATTAAAGACAGATAAACGAATGACAAGATTGCACTTACATGCCTACACCGTGCTATGTTTGGGCAACTGCACTTGAATACAGTATGTGAGACTATGATAAGAGAATCAATCATTATTATAGAATACAAAAATTGATTATCAGAAATTCCAAAGCCACAAATGAATAAATCAGAGTTGTTTCATATACACAGTGCAGCATTCACCAATTCTAATATAAAAAGAGGAAAGCAGAGACTGCAACTTATCCACTGAAAGCAGCGGTTCTGTGAAAAAGGTAAAGAAGGAAGGGGTTTTTTTTACAACCGGCTTTTTTAAAACTGCATCCGGTTCGAGTAGTCGGTTCAATTCTTGGGTTATATGTGATGGAAATCGACACACACAAACAAACAAATCGAAAAACGAAAAGAGAAAGGAATGAGATAAATTGGCTTACCTCGTTCACTAAACGTAGAGTTTGGATATGTTGAACTTTTGTGTACTGTATCTATTATTCACCTCATAACTAAGAGAGTATTTAGTTTATAAGAGAGTATAAATAGAATTTAAGAACCTTAACAATAATTATTTATGGGCCTAAATTCAAACTATTTAAAAAAATTATAATAAGTCAAAGGCCTATAATAATATCAAATCTCGGCTGACTTGGTGATGTTGCTCCTTTTTCTCCCACCGCGACAGCTCCCTTGGATCGAAAGACGCTCACCTAGGAGCTGAACCCAATTAATTTTCTAGTGATCCTATCAACAAGAATTCAGGTAAAATATGAGTTATATCCAACACAGAAAAATGGATTTTAAAAAGCATCAACTGCTGTTTTTTTTTTGAATTGCTTCACTGTTTTTGTGTGTGTGTGTGTGTTAAATGCACTATTTGCTTGTGTTGTGATTGGGAAAGGTCATCTGAGGAATGAATTCGAATAGCTATCATGACACAAGCAAAAGACATGTGCAACCTAGGCCTTTAATAGTTGGAGAGAGACTTGATCAAACAAATTGTATAAAATAAATTAATTGATAATTAACCCACTATTATTTTAGATATAAATTGATTTTGTAAGATAATGCTTATATAATTATTTCATATAAAATAAGAATATATCAATAATTGATCAATATGATTTAAGCAGATTTATATAATTTTTTTTTTGTAATTATAAATAAAGATAAATGAAAATAATGACTATGAGTCCGTATTTTCAAATCATGGAATAGAAGTTTAGTTCCATAAACACTGCCAAAACAGGGACTAATGCGTGAAATCTGTATAAATAATTTGTTTGTGTCACATTCATTCCTCTTATTTGAAAGAAAAAATAAACTACACAAAAACTTACATACAAATATTATACAAATAATAAAACAGCCATTTATTCTCTTTAAAAAAAAGGCGATACTATGTCAGCACAATTACTCTTATTTGAAAGGTTAAACATTTGTTTACCAAAAACAAAAACAAAAATCAATATTGAACAAGCTAGGTTGGTCAAAATTCGTGTGGGACAAGCTTCGAAAAGGGCAGGAATATGTTATAACTTTTTTGTTTTTTATCATGTATTTATGATAATTAAAATTTTAATTTATCACTGCAATTTTATATTTTTACAAAAAATTTTCATCAAAATAATTTTACTAATATTTAAAACACTTTTACATTTTTAATTTTTTTACGTTAAAATTTTATGTTTTATAATTTTTTATCACCCTTTCAATCTTACGAGATTTAACTATCTTACCCTTTCAAGTCTGATTTTAAAAGCTCGTTGGGCAAGTAAAATAAATCTAGATAATATCACTTGCTCAATTATGCCAAGTTATAAAATAACATGAATTAAAGGAATAAAAGATAATTAATGAGAAAAACTTCAAAATAATTGTTACATGTTAAAAAGCTTTAGCTAAATTATAAATTACTCATTTTATTTTTAAAAATTTAGTAAATTACTCCTTCAAGCTTTTAACTTTTATAATTTAACCAATTGAACTTTAAATAGTAATTTATATTTTTTATTTGAAATTAAGTTTAATACAACTTTGCCTCTTAATATTAGGAATTATATGGCTATAAAAGAGATAAACATACTAACGTGTTTGACATAAGGAGTGCTAAACGAATCGCTCGTGAAGATCTGAGCTTACATGTCTAAAATTGGTTGTTGGCATCAGACTTGAACTTATACAAAAGCTCGCTTAATAAAAAGGCATCGGGCTCCAATTTAAAAGCTCGGCCTTAAAGCCTCACAGGCTGGCCTAGTATATTATTTTTTAATTTTATTTATATTTTTTATACTACTTGTAGTAGCCATCTCTTTCTCCTCAATCCATTTCACCCTATTTTATTGGTTAAACAGACTTTTTGAATAATTTTGTTCTATTTTATGCTATTTGAATATACATTGAATTTATGAATTTTTATGAAATTACTAGTGTTGTTGATTGTATATTCTGTTTGGATAAATTTTTGTTGTCTTATTTTTTTAAAACAGGCTAACAGGCTAAACCAGGCTTTTAATTTTTGTAAATGAGACAGGCTACATGCCGATAATTATATTTATAACAAGTAACAAGCTTGGTCAGGCTGACACATTTAAACACAGGTTTAACCTTTTAAGACCAAAGCTCGGCTAGGCTCGGCCCGTTAACACCCTTATTTGACATTAATCATATAAACAAAAAAATAGAAAAAAAGTTGTGAATTATTAAATATTTAAAGTTTGAGTATATATTTCACCAAAAAAAAAGTTTGAGTATATAAATTACAGTAGTCAAAACTTCAAGGAATAATTTGCCTAAAGTTAATATTTGCCGTAGATATTTAAGTCTTACATGTAGGGTTTGTGTCTAAGGGTTGTGACTTAGGGCTAAGGATTGTGTCTTAGGGTTAGGTTTAAGTTTATGACTAGTGATTATGGTTAGGGTTAGAGTTAGGACTAGGGTTTAGGGATTAGACAAATACACGATGTCACATGATCACGTAGAAAAACTAAAAAATCACCATCAATCTTCAAATTTCGCACCTAGAGGAATAATAGCAAATGCAATTGGCAGCATATATCCATATCCATTATGTGACGTCATAATCAAAAGAGTTCCTTTGTATTTTTCATATAGATGAGTACAATCAATTTGAAGTATGGGTTTACAATATTCGAAGGCCTCAATCCACTGGTGAAATATCCAAAAAAATCATATGAAAGAAGGCCTTATAGGTATAAAATCGACATTCATCAAAACATTCATGCGTATCAAGCTTGAAGACAGAACCCACATTACACTGCGATATGTATGTCAGCTAATTGGGCAAGAATGCACACGACTTGTCCCAGTCATCAAATAACTTCATAATGTCCTTTATTTTTGCCTTCCAAGCCTTCATTGGGAGAGGGAGAGGAGGATAAGGTAGAGGAGAATATGGACAGTGACAAGGAGGGAGAACCTAAAAGTGTCATTTCACTAGGTAACACCCAGTGGCGGAGCCAGCATAACAACCCAGTCAGGGCCAAAAAAATTTAGCTTGTGCCAAACCTAGATACAGTTATTTTGCCACATCTAAAATGTGGCTAATTTTTGAAAATCAACCTACAAATTAACTACGATGATTTAGTCACGTTTTGAAACGTGACTAATTTTCTAAAATTAGCCCGGGCCAAGGCCCCATCCTGCCCTAACGTGGCTTCACTATTGGTGACACCTCAGATACTGATGTGGAGGGTGATTTTGACGCTGACACAAACTCAATAAATTTGAGTTCGTCGGCTATGTCACCACTTCATGATGACCCATTTAATAGTTGTAAGTTAGTAAATTTCAATTTTTATTTAACATTCATATTTGTGTTGTTATTTTTTTTGACAAAAATATCATGCTTTAGATGTTGGCAGTGGCGGACCTATGTAGGTTTTAGTGTGTGCAAGTGCACACACAAATTTTTTGGAGAAAAAAAAAAAATATATATATATATATATATATATATATATATATATATATATATATTTTTTTTTTTTTTGGGTCATGAACAAAAATCACAGGATCCAATTTAATCTCTTAAAAAAAAAGTCGACTCGTGATCCCTTTAAAATCCGAAATAGATCCATGTTAGTCATTTTGAGAGATTAATGTAAATCTTTTTGAATTTCAGAGGATTATGATTTTGATTATCTGGGTCTATTTTTGAATTCTGAGAGATCACGAGTAGACTTTTTTTTTCCTAAGAGATTAAATTGAGGCTCGTAATTTTTGTTGAGAACCCAAAATGTTCTATTTTAACAGTTTAGTTGACTCTTGATTACTTTTTTAATATTAAGTTAAAGTTTTTTTATATATATTCTTTTGTATTTTAATATATTTAAAATTTTTTTAAAAACTTTTTTACTTTAAGTATGCAGACATTAAAAAAATTTCTAAGTCCGCTATTAGATATAGGGATAAAGATTAAGCTATAAGCTATTTTGAAATGAAAGCCAATATTATTTCTTAGCGCACCATAACGAAGAGATGGATATGTGGAATACTGACAATGACTTGCACAATAGTTAACAATTAGAAGTTCAATATATATCCAATAAGAGTTTCGTTCCAAATCTAAAATAACATGCACATGATTATTAATTGATCAGAGGTGCAGTTAAAGCGTTGTCCGAGCTTGAAATGACACACTGATAAAAGAGCGGCTTTCGAATTAATTTTTAATACTGGTTGTTCTCAATTTTATTAAACCATGCATTCTTTACTGGCCGTGTGATGTGTAATCAATTCCCATACATGGCTAAACCATGATAAGTTGTGATATAAAGTGGTAAAGCAAGCCCAAATAAAATACAAGTCCAATTAATAATTTACTGTTCGACTCACTTTGGTTTATGAAGAATAATCCGTTAAACAGTTAACTATAAATTGGTTATAAATTTATCCATTAAACCTTCATATTTTGCCCACGTCAGAGGTCAAAGATATGAATTTCACTAAAAAGGACCACCATTTTTTTTTTTTTTTATAACAAAAGGACCACCATTTTGGATAAAGTTATTTTACGAAGAATATTTTATAAAAAAACTTATATTTCTATTCTGTAAATATTTTACTCTTCACACATAAGAGAAATAGGTGCGCCATAACATCTACAACCTTTGCTTTACGAGCGGGTTTATTGACACTCCTATTTGACTATTTATTGTTTTTCTTGATTGTTTATCCTTCAATTACTTAAAATAATCTTGATTAACTAATGTCTTTAGTAAGTACTATTTGAGTAAGTTAATCGTTTTAATTAGGGAAAAGTTTACCAATGCCCCTGTGATTTGCTTCAGAATTATTTATGCCTATGTGGTTTTTTTCCTATTACATATGTCTTCTTGCTTTGTAAAAAATAAGAAATCACAGGAGTATATGTGATAAAAAATATACCCTTTTACAAATCATAAGGGCATATGTGATAAGAAAAAAAACACAAAGACACAAGTGATTCTGAAGTAAACCACGTAGAGCCATTAGTGAACTTTTCCCTTTTAATTAACTCGAATAAACTCACAGGAATAATAATGAATGATCAAATAATAAGTAATGAGAATAATTCTAAATCCAACCAGAACTATTACCTTCCAAGAATTTTCGTCCCAATAACCGTGACAATTCCCTCCCCCACTCCTATGTGTAGAAAAGTGGCATTCCACACTTGCACGCTACGCTTCTCTTGTTACCACGTCTTCGCAAATTTCAGTTTTCTTATTATTTTTTTGCGGTTAAGTGATGGACTACGATTTCAGGACCAGGCCTCCACCCTACGACCCGCCGGCGACCCCACCGACGTACGCTCCTCCGCCGTCGTACCCGAAGATCGGTGGCCCGCACGGCCACTCCGTCGCCCGGTCGTCAAACCACCACCGCCAGACATCTGCTCCTTCCTCTTCTCGTAAGTCTTTCCCACTTCCACGTTTTCTTTCATCATTTCTCTCTTTAAAGAAATTCGGTATAACGAATGGAATAATCGTGAAGGTCTCGAATCAGTGCTTCGGAACCTCAGAAGAAACGAGAGATTGTTCAGTATTTTGTGGAACTGATATTTGTAAACTCGATTTTTAGCAAATTGCGTGCGTGCATTAAATAGGGAAAGCAGATGATTTTTTTTTCTTCTCATTTTTGTTGTAAACTGTGAAGAAGAATTTTTTATTTTTTTTTGACTTGGTTCTGTTCGAGAGTGGTGAAATTGATTGTATCATTACTCTTTTTTTTTGGAATTTGCAGCGGGAATGGGCATTAGGATTTTCATAAAGCCTGAATATAGGATCACTCCGCCTGTAAGATTTGATTTGCTTTGATTTTTGTTTTATTCATTTGAATTTAGATATCGAACATTTGCGGAGATTAAGACTTACCTACTTTAAATTGTTGAATCTTTAACTTGTTGGTCTTTGATCCTCAATACCTGTGCTAGAATACGCATCAATCTGCATTTACGTGTCGTTTTTAATTGGCATGCTTCCTTCGTGATGCTCATCTGGACCACGTTTTCATCAACGATTACCCATTTGGACTTTTTAGTTAGTAAAGTGAACTTTTGTTGCATAACTGATGCTTTTTTGTGCTTATTTTCTTTCCTTGAGTTAACTCTGTGTTGGTTAGCAACTCACTTCTGTGTTATTTCAAAGTTCCTTTGACAGCTACTTTTTCCATTGCTTAACTTATACTGCACCTCTTATTGACAATAGCTGCTGCTTTGGGGATTTATTTTTGTACAGATTTTTGCATTTTCCTCTTATCTGGATGGCAGGATTGCAGAACTTGTCTCTTTTCTGACCTTTTGTTATTTTCATTGCTTTCAAATGTTTCAGAAATCTGGGAAGATAGCCTTATGTAAAGTGTATTATTGTGCAGTTAGCAGGAACAGTTGATTCAATAGTTATTTATACAATTATTAACCCAATATGGCTTGTTGATAAGAACCTGTTTTACTACTTAAATTTCATTTCGGGGTTGTTCTGTCCCTTGCCATGTAGTATACAAGTTTGCCTCTGTTACGGTTGAGATTGTAAAAAGGCCTTAGATTGGGCCAGGGTAGTTAGAAGCAGTTAGTTAGTTAGTAGCTTAATAGGGAAGCTTAATGACTTGTATATAAGGGGAATACCCCCGTGTTAGGAGGGGGCTTTTGACAAATATTAGATTAGCCTGAGAGTGCTCAGTTGAAGGGGAGTGCCCCTTGGCAAGAGAAGTGTCTCTAGTATGTTCATTTGTCTTTCTCATCAATAAACAGAACTTTTTCATCCATTCCCCAATTTCTTTCATTCTTCCTTTCTATATTTCAAGTTTCAAACTCTAAAGAATCCTGAGCCGTAACAGCATCATTGACTTGGGTTTGTTTTGATAGTTGTGGTTTTTCCAATGTTGTAGCCTCATTTATCATCTCATTCTGGAGATATTCCACACAGCAACTTCCAATTTGATTTTGGATTGGAGAGAAAAATTCTTGCTGAAGCAAATAAGGAAAACCCGAATTGGAGCAAGTTTGGGATGGAAAATCTGCCAACTAAGGTTACCGAATCAGCATCACCAAAGGTATCTTCTTGATTTAGAGTGAGAAGTTCCAGTTTGTTCAGAATTATGTATATTGTGTCCAGATTCAATGTATTATGTTCGGAGGGTATTTACCTCCTTTGTACTATATTGTACTGCTAGTCTCATTCCTGAGTATAAATCCAGAAACCTGCACCCACATTGGGTGCAGTCTTCTCCAATTTTCGCCTATTTAACGTAATTTATGCTATTATAGCCTGTGATTTTTTTTTTCCATAATTTATTATGTAGAGTTTATAACTTTATAATTTGCTAGTCCACCATATATTTGGTAATTTTTTTGTATATATAGATAAATCTTTGACTGTTTCTCATTCTCACTGCATGAAATGAAACATTATTTTTTGCAGGTTTCTGTTTCAGATCCAATCGTGAGCAAATATATTTCCATGGGGCTCAGCCGAGAGGCTGTTCTCATTGCTATTGCAAAGTATGGTGATAATCCGACCAAGGTATGTTCTTGATCCCTGTATCTAATTATGAACATGAAGTTCAGATAATAGCACCGCTGAAAAGTATACTTTTTTCTCTGAGCTGACCATGCATATTAAATAATTTTTGAATTCTTGATTGTAGACTATCATGACACAAATGGTTCTTCGCTTGATACTAGAATTTCTCCTCCAAATATTTCTGTGAACCTATTGGCCTTAAGTGAAGTTGTTAGTCCTTAGTCATCAAATTGTTGGTTTTTAGAAGTGTGATAAAAGTCGTCAATTAGATAGTTACCTAAACATTAGGTCTTGCTTTTGGATTGCAACTTTGCTTATGTCTTGCTTGATCTGATTATCTTTTGCTTCTGTTCTCCCCTCCCTCTGTGTTGGGAAGGGGGGAGTGTAAAGACCCACTCCCCATTAAACCCCAACTCGTAAGGGTAGGGGCAACCGAAGGGGGAGTATATGTTTACTTTTATTAACTAATATCAAATACTCAATAGATGATTTGCTTTAAGCCTAAATGGAAGAGGTCTGTAAGATTTTAGTGAAGCAGACAACTTTAGACCTCATTTGAATTGAGGCTTTTCTGCCTATCACTCTTGGCTTTGCTTCCAATTCAAATATAATAATCTGTCATCCATATAATTGTAGGAAAGGCCTTTCCGGGCATGAGAGGATTTAGGAGCTTTTCCTTGATGCAGTCATATGTTTGATATGTTGGACCTTAGTTCCAACATTTCACTGTCAATCATTTGATGAGCTCTACTAAATTCTTTTATTTTGCATTGCCAGTGCCCAAACTAGCACTAGCTGACAGAAGATGTGTCACAATCTTCACTATTAAAATAGGAAATAGATCCTCTCATGTGTAATTTAACATGATCATGTCATGTGAGAGGATCTTAACCATTAATAATTAAATCAACAGTGATGATTGTGTAACTTCTTATCCTTATATTTTTTTTCTCTCCTCTCTTATCACCATTAACTCAGCCATGTATGGTTATGATTGCCCCACATAACATGGTCATGTTAATTAGCACATGAGAGGATACACTCCCATTAAAATAATTTATTGACCTAATGCATCATTCATTTGAAGATTCAGGAATTTGTCAATGGCTATACCCTTCTGCGTGAAATGGGATTTTCATCAACCAGTGTTGCTGAAGCCTTGGTTATGCATGATAATGATACGGACAAAGCACTAGCACATTTCCTTAACGGCTAATCATGAGAATCGTGAAGCATAGGTATCATTTATTGATAGATAATTGATTGGTGCCTTTGTACAATTATAAATACTAGTCAAATATGGGGGATATGAGCAATCTGTTATCGTCTATAAGGCTGCTCCTATTGTTATAGTTGTGGGAGACAGGGAATTTGAAGAGATTGTGTGTTTGAATAGAGAACAAATAGAACCTATTATAAATATTGTAATATTGTACTATGGGTTTCTCTTTTCTCATTTCACATTTCACATGAGATAATATCTTTGATGTTATAGATACAACAAGTGGTAGGTCTCATCACTTGTTAAAAAAATAAAAAAAAGATAGCACAAATCTCGATGTCTCACAACATGAGAAAGCAATCACCAACAACATGAGAAAATAATTTCCCTTGTATTATTTATGTCCAGTTATTACATTTATTTCAGAAATGGCATATCATTTTTATTAAAAAAATTATTGTTGTCACGTTTGGCTATGACCTTAAAAAACATTTCTAAAATAAGGAAGAGATAAAAGTTATTTTTTTGAAAAGTTCAAACAAATGAGCTCTAAGTCCTTATCTCCGTCCATTCAGATAGACGTGCAGCAGTTGAAGTGCAACTGAAGTGCTTAACAAAAGAGTGGAAAAAAACAATTTTAATGGAAGAATTGCTTATTTGCTTATGTTCAGTGCGGAATCGTAGGAAAGGATGGAGTCAACTGAGATGAAATTTTCTTTTGACAGAATAATATTGAGGAATGAGCATCTAGTGATATTTAAAGCTGGCTGATTAAAAGTCTTGGGATTTTTAATTCAAAGCTTAAATTAAGGATATCATTTGGCCTGCAAATATCATTTGTTCTTTATTTATAATAATTACTATTATACTTTAATATTTTTTTTAATAATCCTTCCTTCTTACTTTTTATTTTTTTATTTTTCTGTAATACACATACAATAAATAAGGATGTGTTTCCCAGTGGCAACTTTCTAAAACAACTAACAATCTTTGGTATTAAAATTAGGAGTAGGATATTGTAACAATCATTACTATCAATGTTATTATCAATCAATTTCACCATTAGATCGGTTATGTTGATCTAACGGTTATATTTATTTCCATCTTTGTATGGTTATGATTTTCCATATTTAATGTGAAAGCATTAAATATGGGAAATCATAATCATACAAAGGTGAAAATAAATATAAAATATTAAATAGGGGAAATCATAACCATACAAAGATAGAAATAAATATAACCGTCGGATCAACATAGTCGATCTGATGGTAAAATTGATTGATAGTAACACTAATTGGTTGTTACAATATCCTTATCCTTAAAATTAAAAGATTTTTGAAAAAAATTTCTAAAACTTTTATAATTGATGAACTTAAGATTCAAACACAAATCATATAATCACTTACAATTGCAAGGGTTTCACAATAGGGTTTCCATATCTAATCAACATCAACAACACCTATATTCCAAACTAATTAGGGTTGGTAGTAGATGAACTCAAATAAAATATACGAAGTGATTGAAAAAGATAAAAGTGAAAAGAAGATAAAAAAAGAAATAAATAAATATATATATAAGTAAAAATAAAAGAGGTGTAGGAAAAATAAAATAAATAAATAAGTAAGAAAAAAATTGGGAAGAGGAAAAAAGATAAAGAAAAAGAAGATGAAAAGAAGAAGAAGATTGAGGGGGGGGGAGATGAAGAGGAAAAAGACTAAAAAGGGACTATCTCGAACATGAGAATAACATTGGGTCTAATCCTCTAACATGCTTATAGTTTTTCTCCATTACGACCTAAGGCACACCGTCCACCAATCTATATCTCACTCCATTAAGTCTTGTTTTATTATATTCCCCTAAGAGAGTTTCGATTTACCTCTACCTTTCTTTGTGCCAAGCTCTTGGTAACAAATTTTTGTTCTTACGGAGCATCCATGAGCTTTCTCATTATATGTCTAAACCACCTCAATCTATGTTCTCTCATCTTTTTAGCCACATACTACTACTACCTTTCGTCGAATATCTTCATTTCTTATCTTATCCATCTTCGTATAACTTCACATCCACTTTAACATCCTCATTTTTGCTACTCCTATTTATGCTCATGTTGCCTATGTGTTGGCCGACATTCAGCTCCGTATAACAATGCAGGCCTTACTGTTGTTCTATAGAATTTTCTTTTTAACTTAAGAAAAATTTTGTGGTCACACAAAAACCCATATGTACTACGCTATTTCATCCACTCTGCTCTGATTTTATGATTTACATCCTCATCAATCTCTCCATCTTTTTGCAAAATTGATCCCAGATATCTAAAAGCATCTTTCTTGGGTACCTCTTAACCAAGTAGATGCACAAGATCTTAGTCTTCATCTCTTACCAGAGAAATCTCACACTTCATATACTCAAGCTTGCTCCGGCGTAATGTAAATTCTTTAGACTCCAACGTGCTTCTCCACAATTCAAGTTTTCTATTAATATCATCTTTGGTCTCACCAATAAGCACAATATTATCTGCAAAAAACATACACCATGACACTTCCTCTTGAATATTTTTTGTTAGTTCATTCATAACTAAGGCAAAGAGATAAGGACTTAGAACTGAACCTTGGTATACACTTACCGTGATAGGGAAATAACTTGATGTTTCATTACAAGCTTTTGCACATGTAGTAGCCCCATCATACATATCCTTGATTGCCTTTCATACTTCAATGATACTTTTTTCTTCTCAAGAATCCACCATAAAACTTTTCTTAAGACTTTATCGTATGCTTTCTCAAGATCTATGAACACCATATGTAAGTCCTTCTTTTTTTCTAGATATCTTTTCCATTAATTGTTGCATCAAGAAAATGGCTTCTGCGGTACATCTTTCTGTCATAAATCCAAATTGATTTACAAAAATCTTGGTCTCTCTCCTCAAGCGATGTTCAATAACTCTCTCCCTCAACTTTATAGTATGGCCTATTAGCTTAATGCCTCTATAATTAGAACAATTCTGAATATCTCACTTGTTTTGTAAATAGGCACAAGCATACTTTTTCTCCATATATCAGGTATCTTATTTGTCTGAATAATCTTATTAAAAATATTGGTCAACCATTTTATTGCCGGCCTCTTCACACTTCTATAGGGACATCATTGGGTCCCAAAGCTTTATTAGTCATCATTCTCTTTAAAGCCTCCTTTACTTCATGTGTATTAATTCTGCGCACAAATCTTCTATTCAATTCATCATAACCGTCCTCCAAGTCCACCTCATTTTTATCGCCATCCCTATTAAACAACTTGTTAAAGTAGTTCATCCATCTTTCATTTACATCTTTATCTCTTACCAAAAAAATTTAATTTTCATCCTTGATGCATCTAACTTGGGTGAGGTCTTTACTTTTCTTATCCTTTATTTTTTCAAGTTTATAAATACATTTTTCACCATCCTTGCTCTCAAGATTTTTATACAAATCGGCGAAAACCTTGCCTCTAGCTTCTCGCATTGCTTTCTTTGCAATTTTTCTAGCTAATCTAAACTTTAGCAAGTTCTCATCGTTAGGACTTTTATGTAAACATCTAAAACATTCTTTCTTCTATTTGATTGCCTCCTGCACCTCATCATTACACCACCACGTTTTCTTTGTTTGAAATTTGTTCCATTTGCTTTCTCCTAACACCCTCCTTCCCATATTTTGGATACACATAGCCATCTCATTCCACATTTCATTTACTTCTCCATCGAACTCTCATGGTCTTTCATGAATCATTATTTCCTTAAACTCTATCTCTTTTTCCTCCTTAAACTTCCACCATCTTATCCTTGGGTTCTGAACACTCTTCCGCATTTTATGCACTTTGTTTAACCGAACATCTAGAACTACCAGCTTATATTGCGTAGCGATATATTCTTCAAGGTAGACTTTACACTCAACACAATAGGTTTTATTTTCTCTTCTATCTTCTCTTCTACATTCAACACAAGGGTTTCCATGTCTAATATGTACAGTTTTCATTTGTAAATCATGAATTTAATATCGATATGAATTTGACCATAATTCACACTTAGATCAAATGTAATCACAAAAATAGTATGAGGGCAGTTAGGGGGGAAGTAACATTATTCATATTGTGACCTGTTAACCTCTTTGAGTATGACTTGTGGGTAGAGACTGGTACGGCTAGGCCGTTGAATTTAGGAGTCTACTGGCACTTGATCGCTCTAATAATCCATGAGACTCTGCTTTATAACATCGTAGTTTTCTTAGAAGAATGTCACAGATTCACCACAATAAACTCTAGATGGAATCTAGGTTAAATGCAATTCAAAACAATAGATGTTTAAGCTCTTAGGCTTTGTTTGGGAGTTTCTATTTGGAGGGAAAAGAAAGGGAATGAAAGGTTTTGGTGGTACTTTCCTTTGTTTGTGAGTTTAAAAAAGTGAGGAGAAGGAATTGACGATTTTCACAAACCCCTCCAAAACCTATCTTATTCTTAAAATTGAAGTTCCCTCAATATGTTGGGTTTTAAGAGGTAAAATGTTTTAAATTACTTCTTTACCGTTTCTTTTCTTTGCAATTTCATCTTTCTTTTCTAACTATTTTGAATGTGCACCTGGGAAACTTTTCTTTTTCTATTCTTTCTCGGTAACCAAATATGATTTTGCTTATGTGCTGTCTTTGATTTTGTGTTATTCTAACGCATTTTTCTTTCTCTTTTTCTATACAGGGATTTCATGGCGTGAGGTGCAGAGTATTACTTTGTGTTTTAACGGAGCGAACATTGCAGCCAATCACAGAGACAATACCCAAAAATCTATTGACCCAACACTATATGGGTTTGTCCCTAAAGAAAATGGCTTGATTTTCGAAGCTTGTTCTTGTTATGCTTATTCGGTGCTTGTTTTCGGTAGTCGCTTTTTTTTTTGTACAAAATGGGTTTTATTTTACCGATTTATTATTCCCTTTTAAATAATGTAAATTGGCCCATTGATTTGATTCTTGAGAGTGTGTGCCTACAAATTGTTTGATGTATGGTTTGAATCATGGAGAGTGAAACCTGAGAGTGTGTGCCCACAAATTGTTTGATGTATGATCTGAATCATGGAGAGTGAAAGCTTCAAGCAGAGACGGTCCTTACCATATTTTTAAATTATAATAATTGTATTGATTTTTAAAGAAAGGGTAAAATGATAAAAATATCTCGTTACATATCATATTTTTAACTGACAAAATTTTCCTCCCTCCATTT